TATAGCGGACCAACGCAGTTCAAAAAATAACGAAAAACATGAAAAAACGGCGAAATTGCTGTTATTTACAATGTTTTTGCGCGGTGAGAAGCAGAAACCACTGTAAATACCATTGTTTTTGAGGGTCAGGTGGCCAAAAACACTGTAATTTACAGTGTTTTTTTTTTTTAAACCAACGTCAAAAAACACTGGTATTTACGATGTTTTCATTCACACCGTAACATAAAACAGCGTAATTTACGAGGTTTTTGGAAGTTTTGAAGCTAGCCGTCAAGCATGCAGAAAACAGAAAAACACTGTAAAAACCAGTGTTTCTGCTATCACAAAACGACGAAAATCAGTCCGAAAACGGGTCCAAAAACTCAAAAATCCGCCTCCGGGCCCGGCCACCTGCGGAACCGCAAAAAAAGATGTTGCAAACCAAAAAATCGAGGTCAAAAAGTTGACTTTTCGCTTGCCGATTTTGGACGGGCGCGTTCACGAACAGGTGTCTTCCGTACTGTTTTTTACAGTGTTTTTTGAAGGCGAGCGTCACGACCTATCAAAAACAGGAGGTTTTGGCCGAAAAATGCCCCCCCCCAGGTAAACCTGTAACCTTTTACGAGTGCCATCCGGAAGATCACGCCCCAGCACCTTCGGTGCGGGCGGATTTCCATTGACTCATTATCTGTATCACCATGATATCCCATGTATTGGCTGGTGAATTCCATATATTTCAATATCATGGGGGGGATATTTTTAGCCATTTCCAAAGCCATTTCCAGGCCAAAGTTCTCCCCGCCTTACCACGATGGTCTCCGCGCAAGCATCTCAGAGATTTGATCATGGGAGCAACCAGCTGCCTTGTAGGGGGAAAGAATTGCTCAATCGAAAAACCGCAGGGGTAACAATAGAGATTGCTAATACATGGTAATAGCAATTCTTATTTTTGACCATTGAAGAGTCATTGAAGCAGGATACGTAGGACTGTAGGGCGCAGCAAGGCCACAAGTGCCAGGCAACTGGAGGAGCCTGGGCTTGTTGGGGGATCAACCGTTGGTGTTGGGTAAATCAAACAGCGGCATCCAGCGGCTACATTGTTTGATGATGCTTGGTTATAGCCGGTTATAGCCAGTTATAGCTGTTCCCACTTCTGGTGGTATTTCTTTCACAGATTTTGTAGCAAATGAGCTGAACCCTGATGGTATTTTGTTTTTTTTGGAGAATGAGGCAACCACTTAGCTGTCTGAACGGTGACAGGATGGAGCCCCGAGTGGCTCCCCCGCCATTGCCTGTGTGGAGTCGAACGGTTGGTCCAGTTGGTCCCGAGCTCGGCTTGATCGTGGGAGGTTGAGAAAATGAAGATATTGAAGCTATTACATGCTATTACACCTTGGGTGCCAGACTGTTGTCATTGGCATTTTTCTCTTGGCATTTTTAGATTGATTTGAAGTCAGCTCCTGGCCAAAAAGCAGCGCCAGCAGCGCATTTGCTGAGGGAAGCCGGTGGCTGTACCTGCAACTCATCGGCAAAACTGGCACGTACTTGGCGCCAAAAACAGCTCAAAATCTCATGGCACGGCATGTTTTGGCAGTTCGAGTTGCAGGTCTTATGTGGTACAAACACCACCTGTTCCTTTGAAGTCAGTGGAGGGCTCAGGATGTTGGGGATATCACCGGCGACGACAAATGCGGGAAACACCTCAACTGGGATTCTTTTCATGGGTAGAATTAATCATGTTCTCCACCATGAGATTTCGACTAAGGATCAACATTGTTTTTCAAAATGGATGCTTCACAACTAAAATATTCTTAAGTGTAGTGGGATGGATAAGTTGGTTAAGTTGGTTAAGTTGGTTTATAAATTTATAACTTATAACTATAGGTTTCCTACGGTTGGAATCTTATGGTAGATCCGCAGCTTCCATGACTGCTCAGGTCCTGCAACGCAGCAGCTCAGCTGCTGGGCAGCTGATGACCGAACCCATGGCCACCTTTGGCACCGTGGTGGGCGCGCCGCGCATCGTGGCCCGGCCGGCGAGTTGCGAGGCGGGTTGACTTGGGCACTTGGGTTGGGTGGCTGGATTTGCCCCTTTTTTTTCGGGGGAAAGTCCAGGATTCTCTTGAGAAAACAGCTGCCAAGTTGCTTAGGAGTTGGTTTTTGTTGGGATCATTGCAGGTCTCTGCTCCCACCAGTGTTGGGGTCCTCAAAAGCCCAGGCTTTCGGGGTCAGGTTTTGTGGTGACTTCCCATGAAAATTGTCTCAGACGGCCCCATGGTTCAACCATGAGGCAACTGTCGGGGATGTCAATGCCAGAGATTTCCCTGAGTCGGATGTAACTTTTGGAAAAGGAGCAGCTGGCAAATTGAACGACCATACTACTCATCCATGTGTTTGGCGATGAGGACTCTGTGTATACACTCCATGGTGTTCTTCCTGACTGTGGGCCAGAACATGCAATGTGCTAAGGCAGCTTCAAGTTCAAGGCATTTATCCACCCAGGCTGGACGTCGCGCAAGATTGCGCGACATTCTCAATTTATGTACATACCACCTAACAGAAACAACACAAATGAGTATGTATACCAACGAGCAAATGATGCATTAGAGGCCCCTTCGATAGGCCCACTTTGAAAAATTACAGTAAACCTCTGACCGAGATTCTCGAGGAAGAACGTTTAAAACTTTTGGGGCATGTGCTTAGAAGGCCAAGATCGCATCCTCAACACCAAGTCCCTTTTGATTCAATGCTTGCCAGACCTAAAGCCCCTACCTTGCGTAGAGTAGGCAGACCCATAAAATTTTGGACAACAGAAACATACAGAAACTATGCGCAAAGCTGGGGAAATTATCCAACAGACAGACAATGCTCAACCAAATATTCCTTTTGATCCAGCCAACCCGGCAATCCGACAGGCACTACTGTAATAGCTTGGGCGCGGAACTACCAAGCCCCTTTTGACTAGTTCCCACCATCTCGTTTTCAATCCTAACAAAAATCACTGTATTTGATGTCCACGGTAATCCCTCCTTGAACGCACTCCTTTTGAATGTACTCTGTTTGAACGTTACTTTATAATGCTGACCTGTGCATCTCTCGAGGAAAGTAGATCGCAGTTACAGATATGCTAGCGCTTAGTTTGAACAGCTCTTTGTGAACCTCTCCATGTGAAATGATTTTTCTGCAAGCGAGACCTTCTTGCAATGCTACTTGACAGTCTGATTATCGATTATTGAGTCTGAAAAACAGAAATGAAGCCTGACGTGAAAGTTCTTAGTGTACCGTGGTAGCACTCCTTTAGTTTTCCTCCTGTCCATAGGTTCTTTTTCCCCACCTGCCAGGTGAGGGTTGTTAGATTTTATGTCAGTTGCCTGGTCCTCCTCGTCCTCCTCGTCCTCCTCCTTCTCCTCCTCCTCCTCTCGTTGTCCTCCTCGTCCTCCTGCTCAACTGCGACTCGCGATCCACAGTGTTCTCTGCCGGACCTCCACCACGACCATCCACGCCCAGTGTTCCCTGCCGGACCTCAACCACGACCATCCACGCCCAGTGTTCCCTGCCGGACCTCAACCACGACCATCCCCGCCCAGTGTTCCCTGCCGGACCTCAACCACGACCATTCACGCCCAGTGTTCCCTGCCGGACCTCAACCGCGAGTATCCACGCCAAGTGTTCCCTGCCGGACCTCATGAGATATGCCAAATAGAATGCCAGAAGATATGCCAGATGGAATGTTAGATAGAATGCCAGAAGATATGCCAGATAAAATGCTATGAGATATGCCAGATAGAATGCCAGAAGGTATGCCAGATAAAATGTCAGATAGAATGACACAAGATATGCCAGATAGAATCTCAGAAGATTTGCCAGATAATATGCCAGAAGATATGCCAGATAGAATGCCAGAAGATATGCCAGAAGATTTGCGAGATAGAATGCCAGAAGATATGTCAGAATATATGCCAGAAGATATGCCAGATAGAATGCCAGAAGATTTATACCAGATATACCAGAAGATATGGCCAGAAGATATGCCAGAATATATGCCAGAAGATATGCCAGATAGAATGCCAGAAGATATGTCAGATAGAATGCCAGAAGATATGCCAGATAGAATGCCAGAAGATTTGCCAGATAGAATGCCAGAAGATATGTCAGATAGAATGCCAGAAGATTTGCCAGTAAGAAAATGTAAAAATGTCACGGTGGGGATCACACGAAGTAAAGTAATTTTTTACCAAACGTACAGGGAGGGCAAACGGTGCCGCGATGAGGCACCGAACGAATCAGAACGTCCTGCCGTGTTGGATCGCTTGAAGGTGCGGCTGAGCCGGCTGATCGTTTCGTAGAGTCTTTCACCACTATTGACATATGGGTATGGGTCAATACCTATCAATACTGAGAAAGATTGAGCATTGCATCAGAACCCTTGGCATGTCATTTCACCTGCTTGCATGTACAGGACACTTTCAATGTGTGACCGCAGGCCTAAGCCATTCTGGTTCCGACCTAAAGGCAAAAGTGCGCCTTGCACTTGCACCAGGTTGCACCTGTGCATTTTCAGTGGCACCGGAGCCTTTACCGATCCTTGCACCTTGCCATAGCCGCTGCGCCGCTCCACTTGCTTGCTTGGGTCATCAACCACCTCACCTTCGACATCTTTGACTTTGCCCTCGGTGGATTGCTTCACCTTGGATCCAAAGTTCCTTGTGTTGGAAGGTGAGCTCCAGGTCTTTTACTTCAACGTCACTGCCTAAGGCATCGCTGTTGGATTTGACCTGACAATCGGGCTTTTGCACTTTGCATTGCAACGCTGTTCATCCTACCTCCTGGCCTTTGACTCCTGCGGATTCTGGTTTTGGAATTTGGATTGGACTTAGCATTGCTTGGTGTCCGAGCCCTACCTTTTCACCTTGCTGGCACCAGCTAGGGTGCCGAGTGGTAACTAGGCCACTCCTTTTTGCAAGAGCTTTTACAATTTTGGTTTTACCTGGCCATTTTGGCCCTGACCCTTCGTCGTCATCATGGCGGAGGAGGACAAAGGTACCTCTTCATGGTACAAAGTGCCTACGTGGTCTGGCGACCCATCGGAATGGAGAAGCTTCAAACGTGAAATGGAATGGTGGTTAGCTTCCTTAGACCCTGAGAGTTGCAAGAAATACAACGTTGCAGCCCGTTGGGCACTGAGGCAGAGCGGAGTTGTTCGAGCTCGCTGTGAAGAGTTCGACCCTGCAGATTTGAAAGGAACTACAGAAGTGCGACGTGCCGATCCTGACACAGGAGCTGAGGTTGTTGCCGAAGAAGCCGATCCCTTTTCTGGCATCCGAAAGCTTCTGTCAGCACTGGAAGCTAGCATGGGTCGCACTGAGATGGATCGCAAAGCTGAGTTGCGAAAGCAGTTCTACCAGACGATCCGTCGCTCTGCAGGTGAAAGAATCTCCACTTTCTGCACCAGATACCGAACGCTGATCGGTGAAATGCGCAGGGAAGGCATAACACTTCCTGCGGGTGAACTTGGTTGGTTTCTCAAGGACCGTTTGGGTTTGGACGCACTTCGAATTCAACTCCTTGACACAGCGCTTCAAGGAAAAGAGGATTACGAAGAAGTGGAACGAGAAGTTTTGAGGTTGTTTAGAGATTTGCATGTTTCTGACCCCCTCTACAAGTCCAAGCCGGTTGGTGGGAATGACAACAAATCCTACCCACTTCAACGTTTCCTTCAAAGTAGCAATCAACATGGCCCGCGAAGTGGCGCTCCTTCCAGCGCTGGATCTTCAGTCAAGTCCTTTAAGACTTCCAGCTCCTACCGTTTTGGAAGGCCCAGTTCCTCTGCCAGCAGCGGCCGTCAGGCCTATGTGGTTGAAGATGCAACGGAGGTTGAGCCTGAGGGCGATGAGGAGCTGATTCCTGATGACGGGGATGGAAATGCAAATGGTCCAAACCTGGAAGAAGTTCTGCAATGCGAGGCTGAGGTTTTGGCTGCAGAGATACAAGAGTTGGAAGAAAGCGGTGAATTTGACACCGCAGTCTTAGAAGAACTTGAAGCTGGAGTTGAACAAGCAGCTGAATCCCTTGTCACTATGCGGGAAGCTCGGTCCCGCATCAACGAGATCAAGCGGGATCGCGGTTTTGGTCGCGCTCCTGCTGGGTCCAAACCAAAGCTGAATGGGAATCAGGTTGAAAAGAAGAAAACCAAGACGCAATGCTGGGATTGCGGTGAATTTGGGCACTGGGGAGGAGACCCACAATGCCCCAAGCCTGGGGCGGGACTTCACAAACCCAAGCATGCTGGCAAACGCCCCGCTGTTCAGAAGCATGTGAAGGTTGTTGAAAGCCTGAATACAGAGCATGTGCTGGATGAGCCGCCCGTCTCCAACGAGATCAACATGGTTCACCACGATAGCATGCGATTTGAGGAAGCCTTGGAATCCTCAAAGCAGGAAGACAAGCCCGTGCCTGGCCTGTCGCGAGAAAGTTTTGATGGGCGCTTTGGACTCTGCATGCAATCGCACATGTGCTGGTGAAGTTTGGATTCAGCACTTTCTGCTGACCTTGCAACGTGCACCCCCGGAAGTTCAAGCAATTGTGGCAACTGCTGAGGAGAATGAGCTCTTCAGATTTGGCAACGGGGGCACTCAGAGAAGCAGCGTGAGATATAGATTGCCAGTGATGGTTGGAAACAACTTGTTAGCAGTTTGGGTTAGCGTGGTGAAAGTTCCTAGCCTTGGTTTGCTGTTGGGACGTGACTTCTTGGACGGAATTGGAGCCGTGATTTCGTTTACCAAGCAGAAGCTGCGCCCTGACTTTTTGGATGGCAAGCTCATCAGTTTGTCCCAGGTCGCAGCTGGGCATTTTGCTTTGAGCCTGGTGCCTTCGACTTGGCCGAGGCTCGGTGGTTTGAGATGGCGTCGTTGGGGGCCTGATGGAATTTTAGAGCAACAGATCACCTCACAAGCATGGTTGTCACGCAAGTTGAACATGTCAAAGCAGTTTGAAAAGCATGGTGGCAGTCATGAACATTTGGTGACTGAGCAGGGTTTCAATGCAGCACACCTGGCAGTGCTGACCTTTCCCATGCCTGGCCCTTCGGTTCAAGCTATGTCTCTCAAGACGCAGCCATCACGATCGACGACATCTCCTACGAGTTCCGAAGTTGGTGTGCCGACTTCGACATCGCCTGTGACGAGCCCTACTACCAGTCATGGACCAAGCGCCAAAGGCCAAGGCAAGCTCCGAAAGCCGATGGTGCCGAATGGCACTCCGGCTGGCCATTCGCGCTCAATGGCACGCATCTGGGCTGCTCTTATGGCTTGTGCAGCGGCCTGCAATCAGATACTTGCCGTTCCCCTTTCCGGCAACAACCAATCCGGAGCAGTGGGCGCAACAAATCAAGGACATGGTGCTGGACAAGTCCTTGATGAAGAAGCATGGAGAAAAGGCCCTGACCATGGGCTTGTGTACGGCCAAGAATCTCCAAGAATGCAGCGGTTTCCGCAACCGAGTTGGCTGGAAGTTGGCATTCTTGGAAAGCCCCCTGTTGGATGGCATGCTCGCAGCCCGCTACATGAAGGGCCAAGCTGCAAAGCTTCGCAAGGAGATGTTGCGAGAAGCCAAGGAAGAGGCCGCCAAGTTGGAAGCAGCTGGAACGAAAGAGCAAGCCATGCGACAGCTGATCGGGCCGAAGGGCGGTCTGCCCACCCTCAAAGGAGACTTGCTCAAGCTGGGCGCTCTCCTCAACTTGGACTTGAACGACCAGATGAAGGTCGAGCAGATCAAAGAGGCCATCAAGCCAATGTTGGCAACTTTGAAAGGCGTCGCAACCTCCAGCAGCTCATCAGACGCTGTGGACGCAAAAGCGAAAGTAGCTGCGAAGAGAGGAGCCAAACCAAAGACGCAAAGTGCGCCACCTCCACGTCCTCTTGCGGATCATCCTGCAGAACCTTCTCTCGCCTCCGCAAACACGACAGCAGAAATCCAAGCAATGTTGGCACAGCAAGAGCTGCGATTCCAGTCCATGATGAATCAGATGATGCAACACATGGTGTCCTTGCAGCAAGTGCCAGCAGCTGCAGTCCCGAGGGATTTCACAGACGAAGAGATGCGCGAGATCAACGCCGCTTATGCGGACCAGCTGGAGGAGGAGCAACTTTGGGCAGTGCACGGAGAGGAGATGGAATGGATGACACCGGCAGAGAGAGCCGATGCGGTGGATCATCTTTCTTGAGCCCTCTGAATGGACTTCAAGGTGCTGGTGACGATGGACTTCGAGACACTGCTCCAGTGTCAAGGCCCCTTCGACTTGGACTTTCTGGGGCCGGGGTCGATGGATTTCGAATACCCCAAGAATCAAAGCCTCTTGGACTTTCTGAGGCTCGGGCCGATGGACTTCGAATGCCCGATGAACCCAGCACCTCGGAGTGGCGACTTGAAGCTGACCGCATCAAAACCGGTCAAGCACAGCAGATTGCCCAAGCCTGGCAAAAGCACAAACGTGACCAGGAGCTGATTTCCAAGGGTGATGTTCATGCGGTGATGCAAGCTGAATGGATGGGTGAGATGGAATCATGCCTCAATGAATGTTTTGTCTCCTCACTTGTCCTGGCCCCTGGACTTCGGCCACCCCCTGAGCCTGACGGCGTCTTTGTCTCTGAGGTTTTCACGACAGTTCAGAGAACTATCAAAGAAGCAGCCAACAAGGGCCATTCAGTTGGCTCCGCCATGTCACTTGAGACTGGTTGGAATTTTCTGAAAGCAGCTGACCGCCAAGCTGCGAAGGAAGTGGTCATGAAGGAAAAGCCTTATTTGCTGGCTTTAGCATTTCCCTGTGGACCTTGGTCTGCTTTGATGAGATTGAATCCGTCCAAAGACCTTGCCCTACGGCGTGCTGAAGGACGTGTTCTCATCAAGTTTGCAATCGAGTTAGCCGAGCTGCAGCTTCAACATGGCAGGCATTTTCTTTTGGAAAACCCATTGACAGCGGAGTCATGGAGCCTGGCAGAGCTGAAGCGTTTTCTTCGGCGACTTGAATGCCACCAAGCAGTTTTCGATCAGTGCCGTTTCAAACTGCGTGGGCCATCTGGACTTTTGCACAAGAAGCCCACGAAGGTTGTCACCAGCTCAGAGAAGATAGCTGATCGCTTGGATGGCAAACGATGCCACAAAGACCATGAGCATGAACATGTGATGGGAGGATCACGTGTCACCGCTGCTGCTGGACTTTACACCAAAGAGCTGGCACGTGAGATCATCAAGGGCTTGGAGGAAGAGTTTGAAAAGACCTATGGATGTGGCTTCATCCATGAGACCTTGGCAGTTGATGGAGCTGAAACTGATGGCGACCTTGAAGACGCCTTGGATCGCGAAGTCGATCCCCCAGTGGAATTCAGAGACATCGATGAAAGTGACGATGAAGCTCAAGTTCTACCAGCAAACATGAAAGTTTCAGCGGCGGTGAAAGAAGCCGTGAAGAAGCTTCACTGCAACACTGGCCATCGCTCCAATAGGCGCTTGGCTCGTTCACTCGCCATTGCGGGTGCGCCACCTGAGGCGATAGCAGCAGCTAAATCGCTTCAATGCTCCATATGCCAAGAGAGACGTCCTCCACGTGCCCGACGTCCTGCCACCTTGCCTACTCCAAAAGATGCTGGAGACCAAGTTCACATAGATCTCTTTGAGTTGCATGATTTGGCTGAGAACCGTTTTTATGTTGCTCATGCGATCGACAGTGTCAGCAAATTTCAAATGGCTGAAGTGCTCAAGGACAAATCTGCTGACGCTGTGGTGAACTTCATGGTTCGCCGATGGATGCCAATCTTCGGCCCTCCGAGAGTTTTGGTGGCGGATCAGGGACGTGAATTCATTTCTTGGAAGTTTGAAGAAATGGCTGCACAGCACTCAATTTTGCTGTGGCACACGGCAGTGCAAGCCCCCTGGCAGAATGGTGTCTGTGAGAAAGGTGGTGGAATTTTGAAAGCCATCGCAACAGCAGTCATCAAAAGCCAATCCTTGCTTGGAGCTGACGATGTCGACCTAGCCGTTCAAGAAGCAGTCATGGCCTACAACAGCGACATCAATGAAGCTGGTGTCACACCGGCGCAGGCTGCATTGGGCCGTCAGCCCCGGATGATTGGTGATGTTTTGGGTGATTTTGGACAGCGTTTGTCCGAGCATGGTTTGGTCGAATGCCGACCCTCATTTGCCAGACAAGTTGCCATGCGTGAAGTTGCAAAGCTTGCCATGCTGAGGTTGCATTTTTCAAGAGGTTTGAGAAGAGCTGAAATGGCCAGGTCACGCACCCCAACTGTGACCGATGCCCAAGCCTTGCAACCTGGTATGATAGTTTACTACTACCGCATGAGCAAATACAACAGCAAGACAGGTCCTTCGAAGCGCAAGCTCAGCCTGAAGCGTTGGCATGGCCCTGGACTTTTAGTGGCCATGGAAGGACACAGCAACTGTTTCATTTCCCACAAGGGTCAACTTGTCAAAGCTGCAATTGAGCATGTTCGCAAAGCCTCCACTATGGAGCAAATCACCATGGAAGAGTGGGAGTCTGCGATACAAGATGTTGTGGAAGCTGCAATGAATGACCGAGACGGTGGAGTTCAAGGCCCTCTAGTGGTTGAGCCTCCTGTTGAAGGTGGAGAAGCTTATGGTGATCAAGGTGTTGCCAGTCAACCTGCCGAAGCATCCGCACCTGCTTCTGTTGCTCTCCAACCTCAAGAACTTGTTGCTGCCGTTGCACCGGCCTTGTCTCAACCTGTTGCCAGTGCTCCTCCATCGAGACGTAGCAGTTTGTTGAGCAGCATTCCTGGACTTCCAGCACAACCTTCCGTTGGACTTTCCAGGCCTCAAGTTGCACGCAGTGGTTCCAGAACGCCGAGAACGCCGAGATCTCAGTTGCCCCGCAGCAGACCTGAAGCTGCTGCAAGCCAAGCCCCTATTGAAGCTGAAGTTGTGGATGAGAGTCGCAAGCGCGCCTCTGATGTTCCAGTTGAACGTCTTCAAGATGCTGAAGGCAACCCGCCTCCTGAAGCACCTGGAGAATCCCATGAAACCTTGAAGGTTTCCACAGTTTCAGAAAGACTGAATGACTATGAGCACCCGCTCAAGCAGATCGTGCGCTTGGCCGAGCAAGACAAGAAGCATCCGTTAGATCATGCGCCTGATGATCATGGTTCTTGGGATGGTCGTTGGCCGCTGCCAAGCAGATCTGAATGGATGGCTCATGAGCACTATGGTATTCCCTGGCCTTCTGGAAGTGCTGAAGTGAATGCGGTGCAGACCGCGAGAAAAGAATACAAGTGGCCTGAGATGAATGAAAGCTACAAGGAAAGTTTTCGCCTTGCAGCTGCTGATGGCTGGCGAGTTTGGGTTGACAATTCAGCTGTCGAAGTTCTTTCGCCAAAAGAAGCCCGAGAAATTCGCCAGCGACTGAAGCTCCGTGGCGAAGGCCACAAGATCCTGACACCGAGGTTCGTTTTCACAGACAAACACGACGGACTTCGCACCTCAACCAACAACCTTGGATTGAAAGCCTCTGCAAGATTAGTGGTTCCCGGATACCGTGACCTGACAGCTCATGTTTTGCGAAAAGACGCCCCGACGTGTTCAAGGGTGAGCTTCCACTTGCTGTTAGTTTTCACAAGTTCCCGGAGATGGATTTTGCTGAGCGCTGACGTGAAGTCAGCCTTCTTGAAAGGAGAAGAGTTTGCCCCAGGTGAGAGAGAACTTTACCTGGGCCAGATCAAAGTCAGATCAAAGTCAAAGATGGCGATGAACCGCTTCTACCTCTTGGTGAAGGCCAACTTGCAAGACTGAGAAAAGGGATTTTTGGGTTGAGCGATAGCCCAAGGCGATGGTACCTTCGTCTTCACAAATCCTTGACGAAGTTGGGTTGGCAGAGATCTTCACTGGATGCTGCGATGTGGTTTCTTTGGAGTGATGATGGAAAAACTATGGAAGGCATCGTGGTGAGCCATGTGGATGATTTGCTGATGGGTGGAAGCCCGGTGGCGATTGCTTCCCTGGAAGCACTTGGCAGAGAATTGGGATTTGGTTCGTTGGAACGTGGATCCTTTGTGTACTGCGGCAAGCGCATCACACAACATGCTGACCACTCCATCTCCATTGACATGAAGGAGTACCATGAGAACCTGGCGCCTGCAGTTGTTCCTATGCACCGGCGCCGCACTCCTGATGCTCCGCTGACTCCAGATGAGCAGAAGAAACTCAGAGCATTGTTAGGAAGTTTGCAATGGTTGGTTTCCCAACTTAGGGCTGATTTAGGTTTTCAGTTGTCCACCTTACAAGGGGATAAGCAAGTTGTGGGGACGTTACTCAAAGCAAACTCGCTTGTTCGACAAGCAAAACTGCAATCTGATTTCGCGCTCCGCTACGTTCCTCAAGACCTTGCACGATGTGGGCTGATGGTTGTGACCGACGCCTCTCTGGGGAATGTGACGAAAGCTGGAAGCAGTGAAGGAGAGTTGGTGGAAAGAGTTTTCAGCCAGGCGACCTACGTCATTTTGCTGGCTGATGAACAGTTGATGGAAGGAAAGCCTGGTCGATTCAACCTGATCGACGCCAGAAGCCATAGACTTGGAAGAGTCTGCAGATCAACCTTCGGCGCAGAACTCCTTGCGTCTGAGGAAGGTTTGGATGCTGGACATTTCTGCAGAGGAGCCTTTGCTGAGATGTTGGGTTACCCCATGGAAAAGCCGTTTGCCGAGCAGAGCATGGACTTGATCCCTTTGCAGATGGTGACAGATGCAAAAGACAACTATGACAAGTGCAACAGTGACACTCCGACATATGGAAGTCAGAAAAGCCTTGCATTCACCATAGCTTGGATCCGCAGCATGCTACGCCGAGACTCCACCATGATGAAGTGGACCGCCACCGACAACATGTTCGTGGATGGAGGCACGAAGCTGATGAAACTGGATCACATGGCCCGGATTTTGCAATCCAATGAGTGGTGTGTGACATTTTCCCCTGGCTTTGTAAAGCAAACAGTCAAGAAACCGACTAAGACAGCCAGTAGCTTAGATAGCTTAGTCTTAGGCCAAGCCGTAGATGCAAGCAACCCAATGTTTGGCCATTTGCTGGGCCTTAGCGAATTGGTAGGTTGGCACAACAAAGGTGCCTACAAAGTGCACGTGGCAAAGAATGCACGTTCGTATAGAACTCCAGAGCCGAGATTTGAAGCCTCAAAGTACCCGCACAGAAGTACTTTTGGCAAATTCGTTGACCCCAACGGCCACGCAGAATGGCGACAGTTGGAAGATCGAAAGGCCTATGTTGGTTTGCCCAATCGACATGAGGCACTAGGAAGCGTTGCCAACACACTAATTACAGTGTTCATGCCCTGGGTTCTTCAGCAACAAGAAAATATACCAGCTGAGAAAGATTGAGCATTGCATCAGAACCCTTGGCATGTCATTTCACCTGCTTGCATGTACAGGACACTTTCAATGTGTGACCGCAGGCCTAAGCCATTCTGGTTCCGACCTAAAGGCAAAAGGGCGCCTTGCACTTGCACCAGGTTGCACCTGTGCATTTTCAAATACCATTTTTAGTGGGATGAACATCCATTTACCAGCTATTTTGATGTGAACAAAAGGGGTACAAGGTTTTGACACACTGCCATATGATTAACCATTATTGACCATAGCATTGATAGTAACAATATCAATGGTTAAGACATAGATAGTCATACTAGACCATTGATGCAGATTGATAGTAACTTAGTAGCTATTGGACAGGTCTTGCTGGCAGATCCCGGCGTTGTGGCGAAGACATTGCAGTCCTGTTTTGCACCTTGGTGTTTATTTTTTGGGTGGGCACTGGCAATTCATCTGTTAATATTAGTGTAATATTACTATTGTTTTGATATGGAGTACCAAGAATATTACACTAAGAAAAGTCAATCATTTTTCTTAGTGCCAGATTACCTGATTCGATTATGATTTTCACTACATGTACGATTGCTAGTGATATAACTATTCCAATGGTCGGACGTAGGTTTGGTGTCGTACTTTCATGGCAGTATGCTGATGTCGATGTGGAGAGGGAGCAAGAACTTGCCTTTGAAACTACTTCAAGGTAAGATTTGACTTGTTAGGCAAGGCTACACCATGACACCTCAGTCCCTGGAAAAGTGACATCACACATCTCCGACCAGCAAGCTGTTCTCCGGAATCCAAGGAATAGGTATTGTTTTAATCTGTATCAACAGCCGTGGGTATACTATCATCACTATCACACTTATCATGATTCTCATCATTGTCATTGTTACCAGTTATTACTCTTGTTATCATTCATTATTATTCGTTATCAATTCATTATCATCATATCATCATTATCATCGTTCTTATTGTCATTTATCCAGCTACTATTATCACCACCTGCATAAGTATCGGCCAGATATTATTCTGACGAATACTATTTCTTGCATCGATGCAAGACGATGATGATGATGATGATGATGATGATGAGGATGACGATGACGATGACGATGAAGAAGAAGAAGATGATGATGACGCTGATTATCATTATTACTATTGTTATTATTGTTATTATTGTCATTATTCTTATTATTATGATTGTGATGATGAATTATTCCTATTTTATTAGTATTACAATTATAATTCTTCCTACTATTTGATGTTACAGACGATCCCAACTCCAACCCTGGAATCTCTCCGCCACAGCGGAACTTCCCAAGGAAGCTGCTGGTGGTTCTGCTCAGGGCCAGGTGTTTGGACCTTGGGTGCCGTTTCAGTGGCGGGGTTTGGCTGGAAGTTGGTTTTTATCAAAATACCATTTCAATGGTGATACATCAAACATCAAACTCAACATCAAACAACATCAAAGAGCCATGTTCCTGAGAGTTTGGCACTTTTGCAGAGCCGAAAAGAAACCATGTGCGGTTTTCGATCTATGAGATGTTTGAAAACACGCAGGCCACGTCCCACTGAGGCCATGTCATGCGGCTGTGCGAGCCTTGTGCACGGCCCACACCATGCTGTGGGGCTTCCCGGAGATGATTTTTGGGATCGCCCAAATCGGGATAATTTCTAAAACTTTCTAAAACTCCAAACCTAAATATGCCCAACTTTGCCAGATAAATGGGGATCTAAATTACCTGCTTGGTATATCGAAAATTCTTGGGTTTTCCATCGTAGTCAGATTGCGTGGAAAGCCTTTTCCGGGTCGCCCAACAGCAGAGCCAAGGCTTGCTGGTTTGCCATCTACCAGCATCAGTGAAGCAAAGTGGCTGCACACTCAGCTGGTCGTTGCTGTTCCTTGGTGGTTTCAACGGAAGGGACAGCAACCCATCCACTGGTCGACTGGTCCTGGTGAACATGTCAATTGACGTTGGAACCACTGCGTTATTTTTTTTGATGATGTTGTTTTCCTAGAAAAATTGGTACTTCTAAGCTTCAAAGGGCCGCCCCTAGGGCCCATAGGGGACCTCCTGGTTTTTTCCGACCTTCGCTTCGCTTTCTATGAACTGAGGTGGAGTCTTCTGAAGCGAGCTGGTGTCTACTCTGCTGAGGACGGAGTCACACTAGACCAGCTACGAGAAGTGCAGGCTGGCCAACGTGGCCACCAAGGGTCAAACTTGGGCATATCCGGTAATCAAACATGGCTGGGAAATTTGGAAGCCATGGAACTTTCTAGGAAAACCATCGAACTATTGGGGGATTTGCCAGCCTCCTTTGATTAGAGGAAGAAAGATCCATTTTTTTCGACCTCTTTCCAGTTCATGTATGATGTGAATCTCCAATTCTCCAATTGATCTGAAGGGCTAAAGGGTAGGTCTCCCCATTGATATTCGAATGATATCCCATTAAATCCCATTAAATCCCACTGAATCACCATTATTGATGGTCTTCCCTGAGGGATATCTCGACAGACTCAACTGACTTCGCGAGGCTCAAACCCTGGGCTCCCTGAGGGATTGTTTCGCGCCCAAGCAGCTCCTAAGGAGCTTCGATTTTGGTGTTTTGTTGTCGGAATTTGCGCATCAAAAATGGTGATTTCATGGGATATCATTGGGATATCATGGGGATATCATGTGGATATACTGGGTGTATGTGTATATATATATGTATGCATCGTGTTTGGCAGGCACTGGGTGTGCATTATCATTAGGGTGAGTATGTAAGCTGATGAATCCATTTTGGCTCAAGTCTGAGCCAAACTGGCTTCATCATTCCTTCTTTTGTTCGGGGTGCCCACGCCACTTCTAGGGAGTGACCCTAGGGTCGGTGGTTTTTCGTTCCTCTACTAGGGCGTTACCCTAGGGTATAGAGGTTACGAAGGTGGGGGATACCCTTCCGATGTCAAGGGCCACCGTTGTCGTTCGGCCTGGCTGGAATGAGGCTGCCCATATCAATGCCGAGATCTTGCATGCGGTCGCCTACTACAAGTTCAAGACGCATGTGGAGGGCCTGCTTCAGCGGGGCCTTATTTCTCAGGTCATCCGGTTGTGGTCGTCAGTGTGCCAGATTGACCACTTCCCCCCTCATCTTTGGGAGTGGAGGGACTTCCCTTTTTCAGACGGTCACCCTGCATGGAAGAGAACTGTAGGAGATGCACTGAGTATTTGGTAGGATTCAGGTTTCCTTGGCTTGGTACATGGAACAGTTCAGCTGTCTTGGATCTGCCCGGGAGTGACCCGCGGCTGGAGTGGCAATTTTACTATGATCGCCTGGGCGAGGCGAAGCTGGATCTGCTGCTCATTGAATCGCTGCGGACCCATTGGACAGCGAGGGATTTTGCGCCGGGCAACATCTTCGACCTGGTTGTCTTCATCGAGCACAATGCCGAGAGCATGGTCGACCTCGCCGAGTTGTGGAATGTCTGGAGAACTTGGCAGTCTCAGGCCTAGAGATGTCTGTTTGTTGCATGGTGACGCTGAGGTACACTCTGCAGTTTCAGGTCCAGCACGGACGCTCCACATCTTGGCAGCGGTTGTGTCGGGGGTCGTCATGGCATATCACTCAGGAGCTTATGCAGTGCAAGCTGCAAGCGAAGCTCCGCACTGTGCAGAGACTGCAATGGAACGAGTGGCTTCGACAAGGGTGGCACAGTGGAGGTCTCAATGGGGGTTGCAAGACAATACGGACTTTGCGTATGCCTTTGCATCCTATGATAGCGCTGAGGCACATGGAGGACACCATGTGGCTGATGCGTGGCTTCAAGCACGTTTCAGCAGCATGGACGAGGATCTTATTCCGCAGGTGGCAGCAGCCGCAGAGAGCTCTGGATCGAAGGATAGGCCGGCTAGCTGGCCTGCGCTTAAGGCATCGATGCTGAAGAAGAGCAAGATGGTTCAAGCTCTTCGCATTCGTCCTGGTTCAGATCAGTCTGAACAAGTGTTGCTGAGAGCTGAAGCCTTGCGGAAGGCTTTCTTCCAGGCCAAAGTGATGCGCCCTCAAGGGGAGTTGACCCCTGAGCGGTACTCACAGTGGCAAGATGCCTTGGACACCTTGGCCAAGAAGAAGGTCACGGAGGCCGCGGGCGCCACAGTTGTGAACGCTCTCAAGTCCTGGGCATAACTGAGGGCCTACATGGAGCAGAAGGACCGGTTGTTTCCTCCTGACACTTTGGCTCTTTATGGTTTTCTGCAGAATGGTACAAATGGGCCTTATCGAGCCTGCCATTCATTGAAATGGCTCGCCAAGCACGGTCGCTCGCAATGGGATTTGAGTGACGTGGAAGAATTCAGCTAAGCAGGCGAATTCAGAACAGGCAGTTGCTGTTGAGCCTCCGATCATTGCAGTCCTGGAAGAACGCATTCAGGCGATGTACGAAGCAGGAGATCCCTGTTGGAGAGGCTTGCTTTTCTTCTGTGCTTTCCTCAGAGCAGCTCTATGCTGAGGCCCTGGGGTATGCACGCCAGCATGTTGACAAAGTGCTGAAACAGGAGTCCAGAGTCATCTTGGCGGCCCCTCTGACTCAGGCCGAGTTGTAGGCCCGCTTTCAATTGTCAGAGGCCTTCAAGCTCAAGGCAGCTGCAAAGAGGGAGGAGGCCCAGGCTAAGGGTAGCCTGGCTGAAATGCCGGCATCTCTGAATGGGAAGGTGCTGAGCGCTTCCATGCAGAATGGGGCACTCATCTGTGAAGCCTTTCAGACGAAGATCTGCCCATTGCCATTGGAGAAGGAGTCATGCTCTGGCAGGCATGCCTGTGCAGTGATGCACAAGGCTGGACGTGTTTGTGGTGGCGGTCATTCAGCATGTGAATGTCATGACAAGAAGTTCATTAAGGTCGAAGGTCCACTTGGAGCTCAACAATGGCCAGATCTCTTTGTTCGCATAAGCAATCTGTCGAGGGTATGAGTTTTTGACAGACTGTCCTGGTTAGTCTCACCAGTTTTCATTAGGCAGCTTACACAGGGATCTGTGAGTGCAAGCTGCATGGACATGAGCCGAGGGTATGAGTTTTTGACAGACTGCCCTAATTAGCCCCACTGGTTTTCATGAGGTAGCTTACACAGGGATCTGTGAGTGCAAGCTGCATGGACATAAGCCGAGGGTATGCGTTTTTGACAGACTGTCCTAATTAGTCTCACCGGTTTTCATGAGGTAGCTTACCCAGGGATCTGTGAGTGCAAGCTGCATGGACATAAGCCGAGGGTATGAGTTTTTTGACAGACTGTCCTGTTTAGTCTCACCGGTTTTCATGAGGTAGCTTACACAGGGAGCTGTGAGTGCAAGCTGCATGGACATGAGCCGAGGGTAAGAGATTTTGACAGACTGTCCTAATTAGTTTCACCGGTTTTCATGAGGTAGCTGACACAGGGATCTGCGAGTGCAAGCTGCATGGACACGAGCCGAGGGTATGAGTTTTTGATAGACTGTCCCAATTAGCCCTACCGGTTTTCATGAGGTAGCTTGCACAGGGATCTGTGAGTGCAAGCTGCATGGACATGAGCCGAGGGTATGAGTTTGTGACAGACTGTCCTGATTAGTCTCACCGGTTTTCATGAGGTAGCTTACACAGGGATCTGTGAGTGCAAGCTGCGTGGACATGAGCCGAGGGTATGAGTTTTTGACAGACTGCCCTAATTAGCCCCACCGGCTTTCATGAGGTAGCTTACACAGGGATCTGTGAGTGCAAGCTGCATGGACATGAGCCGAGGGTATGAGTTTTTGACAGACTGTCCTACTTAGTCTCACCGGTTTTCATGAGGTAGCTTCACAGGGATCTGTGAGTGCAAGCTGCATGGACATGAGCCGAGGGTATGAGTTTTTGACAGACTGTCCTAATTAGTCTCACCGGTTTTCATGAGGTAGCTTACACAGGGATCTGTGAATGCAAGCTGCATGGACATGCGCCGAGGGTATGAGTTTTTGACAGACTGTCCTAATTAGTCTCACCGGTTTTCATGTGGTAGCTTACACAGGGATCTGTGAGTGCAAGCTATGCATGGACATGAGCCGAGGGTATGAGTTTTTGACAGACTGTCCTAATTAGCCCCACCGGTTTTCATGAGGTAGCTTACACAGGGATCTGTGAGTGCAAGCTGCATGGACATGAGCCGAGGGTATGAGTTTTTGACAGACTGTCCTAATTAGTCTCACCGGTTTCATGAGGTAGCTTACACAGGGATCTGTGAGTGCAAGCTGCATGGACATGAGCCGAGGGTACGAGTTTTTGACAGACTGTCCTGATTAGTCTCGCCGGTTTTCATGAGGTAGCTTACACAGGGAACTGTGAGTGCAAGCTGCATGGACATGAGCCGAGGGTATGAGCTTTTGACAGACTGTCCTAATTAGTCTCGCCGGTTTTCATGAGGTAGCTTACACAGGGAACTGTGAGTGCAAGCTGCATGGACATGAGCCGAGGGTATGAGTTTTTGACAGACTGTCCTAATTAGTCTCGCCGGTTTTCATGAGGTAGCTCACACAGGGAACTGTGAGTGCAAGCTGCATGGACATGAGCCGAGGGTATGAGCTTTGACAGACTGTCCTAATTAGTCTCACCGGTTTCATGAGGTAGCTTACACAGGGATCTGTGAGTGCAAGCTGCATGGACATGAGCCGAGGGTACGAGTTTTTGACAGACTGTCCTGATTAGTCTCGCCGGTTTTCATGAGGTAGCTTACACAGGGAACTGTGAGTGCAAGCTGCATGGACATGAGCCGAGGGTATGAGCTTTTGACAGACTGTCCTAATTAGTCTCGCCGGTTTTCATGAGGTAGCTTACACAGGGATCTGTGAGTGCAAGCTGCATGGACATGAGCCGAGGGTATGAGTTTTTGACAGACTGTCCTAATTAGTCTCGCCGGTTTTCATGAGGTAGCTTACACAGGGAACTGTGAGAGCAAGCTGCATGGACATGAGCCGAGGGTATGAGGTTTTGACAGACTGTCCTAATTAGTCTCGCCGGTTTTCATGAGGTAGCTTACACAGGGAACTGTGAGTGCAAGCTGCATGGACATGAGCCGAGGGTATGAGCTTTTGACAGACTGTCCTAATTAGTCTCACCGGTTTCATGAGGTAGCTTACACAGGGGTCTGTGAGTGCAAGCTGCATGGACATGAGCCGAGGGTATGAGTTTTTGACAGACTGTCCTAATTAGTCTCGCCGGTTTTCATGAGGTAGCTTACACAGGGAACTGTGAGTACAAGCTGCATGGACATGAGCCGAGGGTATGAGCTTTGGACAGACTGTCCTAATAGCCCCACCGGTTTTCATGAGGTAGCTTACACAGGGATCTGTGAGTGCAGGCCGCATGGACATGAGCCGAGGGTATGAGTTTTTGACAGACTGTCCTGTTTAGTCTCACCGGCTTTTATGAGGTAGCTTACACAGGGATCTGTGAGTGCAAGCTGCATGGACATGAGCCGAGGGTATGAGTTTTTGACAGACTGTCCTAATTAGTTTCATCGGTTTTCATGAGGTAGCTTACACAGGGATCTGTGAGTGCAAGCTGCTGGACATGAGCCGAGGGTATGAGTTTTTGACAGACTGTCCTAATTAGTCTCACCGGTTTTCATGAGGTAGCTTACACAGGGATCTGTGAGTGCAAGCTGCATGGACATGAGCCGAGGGTATGAGTTTTTGACAGACTGTCCTGATTAGTCTCACCGGTTTTCAAGAGGTAGCTTACACAGGGATCTGTGAATGCAAGCTGCATGGACATGAGCCGAGGGTATGAGTTTTTGACAGACTGTCTTAATGAGTTTCACCGGTTTTCATGAGGTAGCTTACACAGGGATCTGTGAGTGCAAGCTGCATGGACACGAGCCGAGGGTATGAGTTTTTGACAGACTGTCCTAATTAGTCTCACCGGTTTTTATGAGGCAGCTTACACCATTGCCCGCAGCATTCATCTTCTGCGGTTGGGAAATCATTTCAGTGGATTGGGTGCTTGACAGCAGTCACGATTTGTCCAACGGCCTCAGGTAGCAATCATGCACGATCAACTTCAATCGGTTTGCTTTATAGCCGCTGCCCTGGATTGTTCTACCAAGAGCCGAGCCAGGGAGATCCCCCGTGATTTTGGGGATATGGCAGGAGCCTCACGGGAGTTACCCGCAGTGTTCTGCTGTCAAGTGTAGCCAAAGCGACGGGTATTTCCTTTGGGCCATTCTACATTCTTCAGGAGTCTTTGGCGTTAGCATTCAAAAAGCTCTATTCAGGCGATTGGTTGATGGTATGTCATCCCCTTTGTTGAGTACCTGGTGAATCAGCACTCGCTCGGCTTGTACATTCGATGGAGACATCAACAAGGGCTCGACATGGAAGGTAGTTGCTATTCAGTTTTAGCAGCCCCTCTATGTGCGGCAGCAGATGAGGACAGCTGAAGGTCAGCAAGTGGGCGCTATTGATCACACAGCTGCATTGGCCCCACTGCTGCCCTTCCAACTTCAGTCAGGTCAACACTTTGAAAGCTTCTTGAAACTCAGCTTACAATCCTGGCCCACTGAGGGGCTTCTCTTTTTGGATGATGATCTTCGTTTTGCTGCTTCACTCTCAAGCCTGCCAGGAGTTGACCTGAGCGAGCTGAGGAAACGTGCGATGGGTCTCTCGGCAGAGATGAAACGACGCTGGGGCAAGATGACAGCGCACGTGCGGAGCAACCAAACAGAGGCTATTCGCACAGCAACAGTGCAACGAGATATGGGCTTCACAGCCATCTTTTTACTGTTGGCCAATTGGGGCGATGTGATACTGCCAGCCGGCCTTTGCATGGGGCTTCCAGCAGTGGGCTATGCACCCCCATATGGTATTTTTCCAGAGCAGGAGGCCACCCGATTGACACGGGAGGACGTCCTCCAGGATTGGCAGAGCCACCGCAGAGGGATCTTATCTCGGCTGAAGCCTGGTGCGGACGATGAGTTCATGCTGCAGCAGAGCCTCAAAGATGCCGAGGAGGGTTTCTGCAGCTCCTCGATGGATGCAGAGGAACTGCATAGCCGTCTTGGAGCAGAGCCTTACCGTTTGATCCCACGGTGCGTCATCACACAATCCTCGGGGAAACAGAGGGTGATTGATGATGCCTATGTTGGCCTACAATCTGAGCGCTCCAGTGACGCCAACAAGCTTACTCTTTGCTGAGCCCTGCGACCAGCTCAGCATCTGCAGTATGCATATGCCTATGGAGCACTTTCCATCTGGGATACAGAGGAATGGGAGTCAGGTGGCCAAGACCGGCCTGATGCTTACAGATTTTATCTCATGAGTGGAGACGAAGCTCTATGCTGTGTTGCGGCCTTCTTTCATCACGAATGGCAGCGGTCAGCTTTCATAATTTTTACAGGTTTGCTTTTTGGGTCTTCTTTGGCAGTCACGTCCTTCAATCGATACCGATACAGTCGCTTTGTGGAAGTTTTGTCACGTCGATTTGCATTCGGCTTGACGTGTTTGCATTTTGATGATGCACATCTGACTGACCGGAAATCTTGCAAAGGTTCAGGTCAACGAGCCATGCAAACGCTCAACACCCTTTTGGGAATCCTCTTTTTCAGAGGAGAAATGCCAGAAGATGCAGAGCTCTGGTACATTTTTGGGATTCGATCCCGATTTCATTCAAGTTCCTGCTCAGGGCACCATTCAGTTTTGGGCGCGCGAGCGCATTGAGCGCAAGCTGCTCCACCTTATGAGGAATGCCGAGGATTCCAGCAAACTTCAATCAGGAGCAGCCGCCAAGATCTATGGCATTGCCACCTTCTTTGAGCTTGGTGTATGGGGACGTCTCGGTTGCGGTGGCCTTGCCCCTATCAAGCGCAGACAACAAGAACACACCTCAGAGTTGACTGAGGAGTTGCGTCCCTGCTTCAATCTGTTGCGAATCATCATCGCTACCAAATTCTTCAGGCCGATCGAGATCTGGCCGCACGTGGGGCTATGTTTTCTAGCAGGCTCAGATGCTGCATCGTAAAGCCCAGGTCAGGGTACGGGAGGATTTCTGGTAGTGTGGCATGATGACCACATACAACAGCGTGCAGCTTTTGTCCCGATCATCCCTCCATTGGTGTGCCACCTTTGGGAACCGGGAGACAAGAAGATTGCCCAACTGGCGCTGCTTCAGGTCCTCTATGCATCGTTTTCACGTCCTTCAGCGTTTCGTGGCCGACGAGGACTTTGGTTCATTGACAATACAGCGGCCAGCTTTCATGATTTACGCAGGGATTGCTTTTTGGTCTCCCTTTGGCCGTCACGTCCTTCAATCGATACATTCGTTTGGTGGAAGCTTTGTCGCATCGTTTTGCATTCTGTTTGACGAGTTTGTATTTTGATGATGCACATGTGACTGACAGGAAGTCTTGCAAAGGATCGGGCCAGCGAGCTATGCAGTTCATGCACAGGGCATCGTTCAGTTTTGGGCACGTGAACGCATCGAGCACAAACTGCTCCATCTCATGAAGCATGCGGAGGATTTCAGCAAACTTCAATCAGGAGTAGCTGCCAAGATTTATGGCGTTGTCAATTTCTTTGAGCTTGGTGTATGGGGGCGCATTGGTTGTGGAGGCCTGGTCTCTATCAAGCGCAGACAACAATAACGCATCTTAGAGTTAACTGCGGAGTTGCGTCGATGCTTCGACTTGTTGCGTATCATCATTGCTATCAAATTCTCCAGGCAAATTGAGATCTGGCCACATGTAGGGCCACGTTTTCTGGCAGCCTCAGATGCTGCATTAGAAAGTCCAGGTCAAGGTACAGGAGGATTTTTGGTAGCGTGGCATGATGACCACAGTCAACAGCGTGGAGCCTTTGTTTCAATCATCCCTCCATTGGTGTACCACCTTTGGGAGTCGGGAGACAAGCAGATTGTTCAGCTGGAGCTGCTTCAGGTTCTATATGCATTGTTTTCTCGTCCGTCAACATTTCGTGGTCGAAGAGGACTCTGGTTCATTGACAATACAGCGGCGCTCATGGCTCTGATTAGAGGTCGTTCTGACAACGCAGATTTAGAATATATGTCTCGTCTGATTCATGTCACTCTTTTTGCACTCCAAGCCTGGTTTTTCTGGGAGTGGATCCCTAGCAAGGCCGACTGGTCCGATGAGATCAGTAGGGATGGCCTCCAAGCCACATAGCACCAGCGCCATAGGTTCACCACGCATTTTGCAGTTTTCCCCTTCGAGTTTTGGTCTCTACCACTTCCTGCGTTTCTACGGATTGCGGAGTTTCTCTAAGTGCTTTGGGAATTGAAGTGCGTTGGGAGAGATTCACCCTGTGTAGCCTCCTGGGTTTACAGGAGTGCGGAACAGGGGGTATGGATCTAACCAGTGCTGCTGTGCAGGGGGATACCTGCTCAGTTACCCAAAGCATTAATCCTGCTGGAGGCAGGTTGAGACCGCACGAAGAGATTGGAAAGGAAAAAGGCTATGCGGATGTGAACCTGGATAGGTTGACCGTATCTAATATCTATGCTTTACATCTCACATCTAATGTATGTATGCATCGTGTTTGGCAGGCACTGGGTGTGCATTATCATTAGGGTGAGCATGTAAGCTGATGAATCCATTTTGGATCAAGTCTGAGCCAAGCTGGCTTCATCATTCCTTCTTTTCCCTCCCTTCCCTCCCTATGAGATAGGACTCCTGTGGAGTATCCTCTCTTGTAGGGGATCACATCATTGCGGATGTTGATCTCTACGTGCAGGTGCACGCCGTGGCACTGGGTGGGAGAGATTCACCCTGTGTAGCCTCCTGGGTTTACAGGAGTGCGGAACAGGGGGTATGGATCTAACCAGTGCTGCTGTGCAGGGGGATACCTGCTCAGTTACCCAAAGCATTAATCCTGCTGGAGGCAGGTTGAGACCGCACGAAGAGATTGGAAAGGAAAAAGGCTATGCGGATGTGAGCCTGGATAGGTTGACCGTATCTAATATCTATGCTTTACATCTCACATCTAATGTATAATATATAATTATATATATATATATATTATATGTACACATATATACACCTATATATCACCAACAGTTAATGGGCAGGATCTGTCAAACATATGTTGTTTGCCAATCGCAAGATCCACATCGACAGGAGCATGCGGCGTGTTCCACGAAGCGAGCCACGGTTGAAGGAGTTGTCGACATGTCCTCTGCGCTTCGCCCTATGGGTTTGTCTGACAATAGGGTACCTCTGAATCCATTCGTTATCTCTCTATAAAAATTGCGATTTGAAGGGTATACCACATTTTCGGATACAGCCATATTTCTACATCCCAAGGTTCCATATGACGTATCCTTTCTTAAAGGTATAGAAAACCAGAAATCTTTGCAAGTGAAGACCTCAATTGGTAAAACGCTCAGCTACCTTGGTTTGCCCAGCAATGGGACATATATGGCCTATGGTGCTCGCAGGATCGCTACGAACAGTTCGAATTTCGGGCCAAAGGTGCCCTTGGAAAGGCGCTCCTGTGATGAATGTTACCCAACACCCCCTTTTGGAGCCAAAAAACTGGGCCCCAATTGGGGCATAATCCCCAAAAGGGGATGGCCATGGCTTAAAAAAGTGTGGTTGAATATCTCTAAAACATCATATCCAAGAGTTTCTCATTTCTATTATTTGTATATATTTGTATTGTGTTTCTGAATGCTTATATAGCAGGCTTTAAGCCACACATGAACAATGGCTTACCAAAAAACAGCACCGCGACCTGCGGACAGGTGTTCCGCTGCCGGCACATGGAGACGGAGAGCTTGGCCGAAGTGCGGCAGATTCGCAAGGACAAGGTGTGGGACATCCCATGGTGATCCCATGGGACATCCCATGGTGATTTCCATGGGAAAGAATGGTGTCAATTGATGGGATATACGGGATATACTGGACATTTGATGGGATCATGGGTGTTTGCGATGACATTTGAGATATACCCTCCGGTAATCAAACATTGGCTAGCTGGGAAATGCCCCTTCGCTAGCCATGGAGGTTTACAGCTTGGAAAATCATGGAGCTGTTGGGAAATTTTCCAGCGATGTTTGATTAGCGGAGGTATTCCAGCATTTGAAGGGGACATTTAGATGATCCCAAGTTGGATAGTGGAAGTGCGGCGCAGGGAACTTCACAAGAACCCCTATAATGCTCTATGACATACCATCGTTTCTATCACCTACTGGCCTCACTTTATATTGCTGGATTTGCCATGAAAGGTTTCAAGGAGCTTAGCTGGATCCTCCCAGCTTGCAACTTGTTACACTTCTCCAACGGACACGGTGCAGCAATGCAGGTCTGTGTTCCCATGGACTACATCCGAACCAGCAGGGCTCTCAATCTCTGGGGACTGGGACTGGTAGCTGAGCCAAAATCTGATCTGACTCGCTGAGGTTTGCATCGGATCAGCGAGTTGCATCATCCCAATGTTCCACGCGTTGTGGATTGCCTAGAGGAGATGCTGTGGTTGAGAGATTGTGGCCGAAAATGGTTGTGACAGCACAGACTTTGGTGTTTGACGAAAAGGGTTGTCCATTGATCAAAAGCAAGCGTTACTAGCTGGTTTGAAAACCAGCACAGCTTCGTGGGGATGGTTCATCTCCCTATAAAGATCATAATATCATTGGAAAATCTATCCAGCAATATAGGTATGATATCAGGTATTTCTACCTGGTTAAAATCTTCTGGCAGAATCAGAAGATCCCAAAAAATCGGCAAAAAAATGGCACACGAATCGAGGTTCGCAACAGGTTTTGAGATATGGCTTTTTTACACTCATCCCATGGGATTTTTTACACACAACGATCCTGGAAACTCCCATGGGTTTTTTACTTCACGCGAGTTGTGTCCGCAGGATTTCCGAAACTTCTTTGTGGTCTCAGAGCCCATCGAAGCCTTGGAGGTTGGTGGCCCATTTTTCCACAGTTTTCTTCTGGGGGTATCCCTGATTTTTTGACAACACCCATTACTGGATCGAAAATTGAATTGTTGGGTGTGTTCCCCTACTAATCACCATGAAAGATTCAAAGTGATGATTGGAACATTTGCTTTTCTCTGAGACCCTAACTCCATTAGATCACCATTAGTTCTGAGTGATTTCCCTAGGAACATTTGCCCAGTTCTCTGAGAAGATGTTATCCCTTACCCCCTGATGGAATCCTAAGCCTAAGATAACCACCATCAGCCACTCACCCCATTTGGAGCACCATCAGCGAAGGTCATGGACTTTATGCAGAGCTCCTTTGTTCATGGCACCACCGTCTCAGAGGTCGGAATATCATGGTGTCGCTGGAAAAGTTACACTCAACACATCAACATATATATATATATATATATATAAACAGCAAGAAAAGTTGTGGGTGTGCGAGTCCTTATATATTTATACATAATATATATATAAATATGTATAATATATACACACAGTATGTAACATATATATATATAATATTGTATACATGTAACTTATATATATAATATTGTATACATGTAACTTATATATACATATGTACATACGTATACTATTACTGATCATTATGCGCTGATGCACATCTAATGTAGATTTACATTTTTATATCACATTATATATAGTTAACATGAAACCGACGATGTCTCAGGCCTGTGTTGCCAATCTGATCCGCCAGGCGGGAGCCCGGGTGGGGTATCACACCAAGGGCTCTCTGAGGCTAAAACTGCAATGTTTTTTTTTTTGCATGTCAGGTGTTTAACTCCATATATATCATATATATATATCATATATATATATCATATATATATATATATCATATATATATATATCATATATATATATATATCATATTTATCATCATATGAGAATAAATCACCCAAATGACCCAGAATGACTGAGCATCAAAAACATGGATGGCTTGTAAGGTTGTAAAGTCCATAAATGGGGCTTACCCTCTGGTTATGTCAAAATAGCTATTGAAAATGGCCCAGTCGAAATAGTGGATTTTCCCAGCTACAAAATGGTGGATCTTTCCATGGTTAACCAGTAATTTTCCATTAAAAATTGTGATTTACCCATAAAAAAATGGTGATTTACCCATTGAATATGGTGATTTACCCATTAAATATGGTGATTTATCCATTAAATATGGTGATTTTCCATGGTTTTTTGTTAACGTTTACCAGGCCGGGGGCCGAGGTGTTGGACGCATCGGCTTATTGCCACGCGCAGCAGTTGGGGCCAGTGATCCACCGAGACCTGCAACCTGAGTCAGTGGGAAAGCTCAGCGGATACCATGGGGATACCATGGGGATAGCCATGGGGATAGCATGGGGATAGCCTGGGGATAGCATGGGATAGCTTTTTATGGGGTAAATGTGTGATGTGTTTTTTTTTTCCATATGGGATTTGGACGAGGTATGTAACAGCATATGGTTATAGATAACCCATGGTTATGGTATGGTTATAGATAAATCATATGGGATTATGGGATAACCTATGTTTATCCCAACTCGCCTGAAAACCTAGGGGAATGGTCTGAAAACCATGGGAAACCTAGGGAACGATCTGAACAATGGAGGATTTCGAACAACGCATTGGGCAGCAGACATCATTTTGTTAGTCCTGCAGGTTGATTTCACAGGTTTTGTTGTCAACCACATCATATCCCAAGTGACTGGTATGTTTGGGGTCCAATAAGATTCCAAACAAGCTCGAAACTAGCAAAGTCCAAGCAGCGATGCCTTTCTCAGCGATCTTTGCTGTTAGGTCCTGGTGGAAGATACTGAAGGCAGTGCCGGCATGAAAGCCTGGGTCACGTGCTTTGGCTTGCAGGCCTTGAGATGGGAGGGATCATTTGGGGTTTGAAAATAGGCTACCCATGGCTACCCCAAAATGCTATAGTTAATCTAATCACCATGGCTTCCCTGTTAAACACATCGTTTGGGGGATCAACCCTATTTTCAAACGCACCCATTTAACCATTTTTGTCAAGCTATGGTTTGAAAACATCATGGATGTGGAACCACCTGCGCGCAGCCCTTGTTCGACCTGCACGGCTTGGGTGGTTCTCTGCCTGCCAGCTGTTTGCGAGAAGCTCGATGACTGTTTGCGGAAGCTCTTTTTACGCCAACGCGTGGTTTTGGGGAATGACAGGACTGACCAAAATTCCAAATTTGACAGATCCATGATTTGTCATGATTTGGCCATGATTTGGCCCAGTAGTGGACATATTTTGATGCTTTTTCCTGTGGATTATTCTCCAACGTGGAGATTGCTTAGGCCTCCGGCTCCCAGTGTGTCGCCGGAGCTGACGCCGGAGGCGTCAGCTCGTTGCGCCGGACCTTCTGAGAGGATATTGGGCAGGTCATTTATTGTACAAAACCTCTATTGGTCACGAATTTTTTGTGATTTATTGTACCAAAATTTCAACTGACAGGGTTTCTGATCTGTTTGAAAAGGGCTGCGCATTTCTCATGTCCGCAGCATTTCTCGAGGCATTACCCTGCTCGAGTGGACCAGAATTCTTGGCCCCAGAAGTATGGCGTCGGGAGACCCAGTGAAGAAAAGGTGCCCGCTTTTCAAACATGTCTGACATTGTCTGACCACATCCGCAGCTGGAAGGACCAAAAGTCAATTGGGTGGGTCTGAAAATTGGGGTACCCTCTGGTAATTTAACATAGCTATAGAAAATCACCATTTTTAATGGGAAAATCCATTATAAATGGCCATTTTCAATAGCTACGTTAAATTACCAGAGGGTACCTCTGAATCCACTGGTTGACCCCCCCCAAAAAAAACTGCTGCTGTGAAGGCCGTGACTATGGACCCAAGTGCGATGCGACCCCCGCTGGTTGCAGATGCTGGCAAGCGGCTTGAGATCATATATGACTGGTTGATTGGTTACTTCAAGGGGGTCATAGTCATAGTCTAGGTGGTTTATTGGGAATTTTCATAACCCATAATATGGATAGCTTTCAACGAAGCAGTATAGTTATAATGGAATGAGATTCTCTCAAACAATGGATTGATGAAAGGGAAATCGACAGGAGCCCTTTATGGAATTTCAATGTGGTCACAATAAAAAAAACCTCCAATTTCAGCAGGTTTATACCATTTAACTGGCGGGTTCGTTGGAGATAGTTTATGGTTTTGGGTTGACTACATACAGAATATTAGTATTCTTGAGGTTTATTGAGGGGTTATATCAATGTGATCATTTCTATTGCGATCACTTGAACCCATTTAGGAATGATCATGACAATACTGATGATAGTAAAGAATTGGTTGCACATGCCAATGATAATAATAATGATGTGGAGAATGCCAATGATAGTCATGATGAACATCATGATGTATTATACCAGTATGAGAATGATCCCATCCCCTGAATATTAAACACCCCCTAAGTGGTCCCAATTATGTGGAAATTCTGTACTAAACCATGGTTTCTACGGGATGTTTACTATAAGGGGGAAGGGATTAATCTTCCCCCTGTAGCCAGGTATGGTCCTGCGGCTGCCTCCTCTTTCTGCTGTTGACAGGCGACACAAAGAACCATTTCCTCCATGACGTAACGACCGCCAGAAATCTCGGTTTAGTAGATTGGATCTCTTGCGTTTGGGGTCAAGGGTCCCGGGTATAGCAAACTTATAGAACTTACATATATATATATATTTATTATATATATATACACATACACGTGATATGATGGGATTGTTGCTGTTATGTAAGGCCAACAACCTGAGCTCTTGCCTTTCATCTGATCGATATATCGGGATGCTGTCTGCAGGCCGGCCACCCTTTCCGTCCCGAAAGTCTGTGTCGGACCTCGTACGGATCTCAGAAAAAACCGAGGTCGAGCTCAAGCCAAATCACCGGAGCAAAGAGGTCGAGTTCAACAGTCCAATGGTGAGGGCCAGTAGATTCCAAGTGCGTGTCCTTTGTATGCAACTGTGACCAGCGATTCCTTTGAAACTGGACGAAAGCACCAAACACATTTGAGGATTGGTCAATGTTTGACTGGTTCATGGGTTCATCATCAGTTTCCTCATTCTTGACCAATGCTTCAATGAATGCTTCAATCAATGGACACCTATCCCAAATCCTATCAGATTTTTTCCAAAATTTTCCAGAAAATTGCAAATGGAAACAGACATATCATATCCCCACATTTCTGGCAGATTCTTTCCAATATTTGCCAGTTCTTCCATGGATTGCATATCATCCAGACATTTCACCGCAGCCAATGTGCCATGCATTGCCAGCTGTGCCACCAGCGCCACAGCAGCGCTGCTGCAGAGCTGCTCGGGCGCCTCGAGGAGCCCGGTGCGCCCAGGGTGCAGCGATGCGCACTGAAGAGGCCGAGGGCCCGGAGGGCCCGGAGGGCCCGTTGTATCCCAGGGATCCCAGGGATCCCAGGGATCTCAGGAGTAAGTGGTTAGATTGGTTAGTAAAGCCTAGTTATCTGGGATGAAAATCGCTTTTTTTGATTGGGAAATTTCGGGATAACCATGAATCAATTATCAATCATCCCATTACAAAAAAAAGGAAGTCCCCGATGATTGATGGTTATCCCATCTATAATCTTGGATGACAATAACTTATGGTTCAAAAAACCACTTGCTGGGATGATCCTCCAAGTACGAGAGTTGGGGGACCTATGCAATCCATTCAGCATAGAAGATATGATAGGGGGAATTGATAAGAATCCAATATCATCTAAGCATCAAAAAAATGCCCCTGATGTTTGAGGAGTATGGCTGCTGGCTCCAATGGTATGGCTCGGATGTGTTTTGGTATTTTTGGGCTTATCTAAAAATTGGGAATATCATCATTTGCCCCCCTGTAGATTTTGAAATGGCCCATCTTTGAACAAAAATTCTGAGGATGGCTCGAGTCGGCACTGAAAATTGCCTGGGTAACCTGTCCGATGGTTCCTATCCCATGATAGGTCAAAAATGTTGCGCTCGGGCGTCATGGTCCAATGGTGCTGCAAATTCACCCATAAATTTAAGGCTTCGTGTAGAATGTGTGTTGGGAAGGATTTTGAACATGGAAAATGGATGAACATATGGAGAAAGCTACCAACTGATGGAGGATTTCAGTTGGGGGGTCCTCCAGCAATTTTTAGGCCCCAATGGCCCAGCCAATTTCAACGTGCAAATGTGAGGATCTCTAAGCCACAAGGATGAAAAAACACCACTACGATACATTTGGATGATTTTCTGATGATTTTCTGATGGTAAGCTGGAGTTTCCACCTATGGAAACGTCCCAGAGGGTATCTTTTGGCCATTTTGGATTCCCTTCAGGACTTTAAACGTCTCAGGCTTTGCAGACCCTGAAGCCATGGTGGATGTAGGGGATGAAACCAGATATTTGGGACCATTCACAATGGGGGTGTTTTTTGCAATGAAGGAAGGGATGGGATCATAAATCAATATCCAATATCATACTCCCATTGTACATTCATCCAATATATTGTTTGATATGTCAGCCAATCATTATGGAATTATAATCCCCAAAGAAACCCACATCAATATATCAAATCAATCATTGAGGACACAATAACCTCAATTTTCAAATCATCAATTAGATTAGTATGGTTCCCCCAAGAAATGGTTACATTATGTTACATTATAACCAATTGATTATTATGGTTACTGTATATTCAATTGATTATAACCAATGGTTGGTTTCCAATCCCAGATCTCAGGCTTTGTACGGTGGAGTTGCCAGCATCGTTGCGAGTGACGGCCAAAGATGCGTTGCGCAAAGTGCTGCTGGAGATCGTTGGGGAATGGTAAAAGCTCACCTTTTATCGCCACCATTTTGGGGATAGTATATATAACATATATTATATATATATTATATAATATATATATATATATATTATATATTATATATATGTTATATATATATAATATATATTATATGTTATATATATATATTATAGTATATATATAATATATATAATATATATATATATATAATATATATATAATATATATATATAATATATATATTATATTTATATATATGTTATATATATATGTAGCCATGGTTATTTAACATCTAGTTATTTCACATTTGGGGATAGTTCAAATAGATATTTACCATCTGGTTATGACTAACAGTTTGCCATGGAAAGTTCCACCATTTTTAATAGGTAAAGCATCTATTTCTACGGGCCTTCTATACCATGGCTATGTTGAATCACCAGAGGGTATATATATACATGGTATATACCGGCCATAAGAATGGTGATGACGTGCGGATGGTTTATGGTTTTGGATATTGTCCACATGAATCCCACATTTACTCTTTGATTCTGGACTGTGAATTTAAAAAGACACCTTGTTGGGTATGCTTAAGATGCCTTTCTTTAAGTGGGTCCATGGGTAGCTAAAATTCTCCCATGTTTTCGCAGCTCACCGAAAACTGGCTGTCGGTGGTTTCATGAGATCCGAAGTTTCCCAGGAGGGTCCCCCAGAAGATCTACATTTGGAAGCCTTTGAGCTTCTGGCTGTCTTGAATCCTGCACCGGGCTGGTTGTCATCCAAAGAGGCGGGATGATTTCGGTGTTTTTCAAACAGGATTCAGCATCTGTGACAAAATTCATGTTTGTAAGATTTCAGATAGGCATTCCAGCTTTGTTTCCTTTAGATGATTTCTAAATATTCATCACTTGCCCATGTTTTGTTTGGTGCATCCCTGCATAGATCGAGTCTGTAACGCCTTCGCTTCTGCGGCTACTGCTGAGCCGCTGGGATCGAGACGACTTCTGCCTGGGAAAACCCATGAGTCTGTTGCTCCAGTGGGTTGAGGCCATGACACGGAGCTGTTTATTTTCTGATGGTGAAGTTCCAGTCGTCCGTATGCCATGGTCAAGAGTCAGATGATTCTTTTACACACCCATATTGGTTCACATATTGGGGTATGATGATACTGATCACACCACCATAAAAACAAGGAATTATAATGGCCAATACAAGGATTCCCGGATTGCTTCTGCGGCTGAAGCAACTATCGATTCAGCTGAAAGCTGCCTGGATTTTCCAAAGCCTATATTTCTGGCAGATTCTGGCAGCACAGCTTGTGAGTTCTGTCTTGAGGTGTTTTGATTTTACCGGACACGAAAATGACCAGAATGTGACAAGAACATCACAGAAAAGGAAAGGGAACAAAGGGCAAAGGACTAGTGACTGTGACGGAAGAATGACAAAAACTGCCAGCATGATGACAGCCAACATCTCAGAAATTTCAGACCCGAATAAAAAGGCAAAGAACTGAAACACTAGATATACAGAGCCTAGATACTTCTTAGTGAACATGCACGTATGATGGGCAGGGGGGCCACATTGAAACTTGTGACATTGGTATGATTGGTATGTTATTAGCACTGGCAGCGCAGGCCGGCGCCGTGCCTCCAATGGTGACAGCCGGCTTTGCTCTCAAGATCCTGAGAAGCCTTGGTGAGAGAGAGAGGTGCGCAGCTGTGATGCCGGCTGGTGAAAAATAAGTGGGTCAGGTTTGTGCAGCCACAGCTATGCCACGATCTTTATCTCCGTGGTAGAAGTAGTTCCACTTTGCTGATATTGCAGGATAACCATGGATAACCATGGATAACCCATGCTTGCCATGATTTTGGTGATGCTATCCTGTTCCGATCAGGACCAATGGCGCAGCACTGAAATGGTCAGAGGAATTCGGGTATTCGGGCCCTCTGCTGCTTGGGATTAGTGGGGATGCAAGTCCGTTTGCCCAAGTTTGTTCTAGTTCTTTTGGTAGCATGCTGGTCTGGTTTTCAAAGCCATTGGGGAATTGAAGGGACGATTGTCCAGCCAACAGCTTGCGGAATCCTTCTTTGTTTATTCTTCTTGAAGCAGTGAAACCACTCCATTGTTGAGGGCACACTTTAAAAGACCAACCCACGCCCACGTTGTGGTTTTTCCACCCCGATTTTTGGTTGGTTGCACCAAGAAGAATCAGTCAGTTCTTTCATGTTTTGGCAACTTTGAAAGGTGAAAGTTTCGGTTTTCCTTCTTCGCTGTATTCATGTCTTCCATGTCTTCTATGTCTTCCTATTTTTTAAAACCCAATTTTTGAGGAAAAATGACATTTGACAAGTTCAAATCGTTCAGAAATGAGTCCGACACAGGAGCAGCTTCAATTCCTGGCGCGCACCTCCCAGTTGGGTCGCCGTGCCTTGTCACAGCTCAGTCTGCACAGCGACCAGGCGCCATGCCGGGGACCTTTTTTGGGTCAACGGTATACCAACGAATGTGGGTAAACCACCCATATGGGAACAGTAAGCATGCCACCTAAAAAAATGGTGATGACTGGGGGATGGTTTATTATGAACATTTGCCCACAGAATCTTTTCATCTGGATCCAACTATTGAGTTTACCCACTGCTCAAAAGGGTCAAGACCACGGACGTTTTTTGATGAATTCGTGCCAAACATGTGAAGCTAGCTAAATCCCGAAGAGCAGGTAGTTTTCTTTCGGAACCAGGTTTTTTTTTAAAAGAAAATCATGGATTTTCCGATTTTACTATGCAGGAGGTCTCACTTCAACCCCTGCCAGGTGGTGGCGTTTCTGGTAAAATCCCTGCACCACTTCTGTGCAGCTGCCATGGTCACAGAGTGTCAGCAGCTGTCTCTGGAGATTTTGGGCTTCATCTGTGGCAGCTGGGCACACTGTCCACCCTGTGTCTCCTGAAAAAACTCCATAAAACTCCGGTTTTTGAGCATCATTTCTCCACATTTCTCCTATTTTTAATGATGCTTTTTGAGGGGGATGCCGGGGGAGACCCTGTTTCCTGACAACTCCTTAGATGTTTGAACTGCTTTGGCGAGTGCTCCGGGGTTGGGTTCCTGACCCTGTTTACCGCAACGAGTTCCGGCCGCTCCGTGTGCTCCGCAAAGGTAAAGACGATGACTTGGACTGTGCTGCGGATATCCGGGAGCGCTATCCCATCGATGAGGTGTGGAATCTCATGATGGATGCGGATGAAGAATTCCACCGAGCGAATGGAGTGGCTCCAGTGGGGCCCTGGAACTACTGGGTCGTGCCCTTACTCAAGGAGAGCAGTTGAGATATCACACAGTCATCGGTTTCCAGAAATGGGGATACCCCAAAAGCTGGATGGTTTATAATGGAAAATCCCATTAAGATGGATGATTTAGGGGTACCCCCATTTCAGGAAATGCCCGAATGGATATATATATATATAAATTGTATAATATATATATATTTATAATATGTTTATACATGATATATGGATATATATATATATTTATAATATGATATATGGATGAAAGAACGGATGAAGGCCCGTGCACCTCAGGAGGAGAAAGCCAAAGACACAGTGCTGATCAATGGTATTGGCTTTGTGGCGGCTTGTGTATCTCGACGAAATTCAGCAGGCAGTGACAGTGACACGAGATGACACGAGGCTCACCGCCAGCAGCTCCTGTTGCCAGGTGGATTCCGAGATTTTGCGAATCCATGCAATGAAAGACCGTGCTCTCCTGGCAGCACTGCAAGTACCCTGGCAGAGCGAAGTTTTGATCGAAGAACATTGCCCTTTGAGATTGGGGGACCCAAAGTCAGTTCAAAACTGTGCTTGTTGCATACTAAAGTGTCAATGCATGAGTTTTTACCCGCACATTCCCCTGCTTAAATTAGGGAGATTCATGTACTGCATACAATTTGCACATCTCGAGATTGAAGTCCCAGCTAAACCCAGTGTCACAAATTTCCAGAAGCCGGCATTTCTGACATCATGGTGCTCCACCAAGGATTTGAGCAGCTCGCACAGCTCTGAAGAAGTAAGACACTTCGCAGCGAAGACAGGGTGCCTTGGAAGAAATTGACTTTGGATGCCGCAGAATGACACTTTTGAAAAGAAACATGGCAACGAGGAGGATGATGATGGTGGTGGTGGTGATGATGGTGATGATGGTGATGATGGTGATGACGGTGATGATAGAGTTTTGGATTTCAGGGTCATCCTATTTTTCGGACACACCCATATAGCTTGGCATTTGAATGAAATAGACACGTCCTTAGAGTGCTTTTGGACATCACAAATCTAGTTATGGGGCCTTCCACAGCCTGGGCACACCCTTCACTGGTGGTATCGAGATGTGACATTTTTTCAGTAACCATTGGACCTGGATCTGTTTCTCAGGCAGCGCGTGTTTGACGTGGCTTTCCGCCGCGAGGAGGGACGTGTTGGTCGAAAACTGGTCGACTTAGCAAACAGCAAAAGGACCTCGAGTCATGGCGATGACGAATGGTAAACAGTCGGCCTTGTGGTACAGACACACCTGGAGTGAATATATGTGTTCTGTTTCATGATGTTTGATGATGTTTAATGTATGAAGCAGTGGGATTACCCGGGAATTTGCTTTCAGGGTCAGGGCCTTCCTTCTTGGGGCCGCACAGGAGCCGTTTGCCCCGAGCGGAAAAGGTGGATATGCCGCAGCAAAAAAGGAGGAGATCGCCTGCTCTGGTTGTTGAGAGTTGGATGTTCATCCCATTGTGACAGGCTGAGGTTTTGGCATTTACTCAGTAAAAACTCCCATGGAAGGTCCACTACCCTCTGGTAATTTGTTACATAGCTATTGAACATGGCCCTAATCGAAATAGTTGGATTTACCGAACTATTTCAGATGGTTATTTTCCAGTTCGCTATGTAAACGTTTACCAGAGGGTAACATCAATCCATTCTTCCCATTGAAGTCATTGCACGAATCCAGATTGCTAACTGCTGAGGTCCATGCTATCACCAGTCAAGAGCCGGATTGGTTGGGGAGCTCAGCCTCAACAGCTTGGCATGCTTGGCATGTTGGTTTCTTCTGGTTTCTTCTGGTTTCTTTGTATGTTGCAATACAGATTGATATAACTTGGGCTCTTTTGGACTTAGATCAACTTAGATCCGGATCTTTTCCCCTATGTTTTGCATAGTTTTACCATTTATCTCACCATTTATAGTGTTTTTCGAACCGAGGAATCTCTTTCGAAACGCCAGGGCCTCAGTATTTTTGAGTGCTCTTTGGATGATTCATCATCCAAATGGATCCAAATGGCCTCATTTTACAAGGTGTCGACAGCGGCTTTGGCACTGTGCAAGCGCATGCTTGACAAGGACACCTTTTAAAGGATCAAAGTCTTGGCTGAATCAAAGTTCTCTTTGAGACTTGTTACATCATGCTACATTTTGTTCATAGATATGAATTTATATAGCAGTAGTGTACAGTGTAGAGCTAAGTTTACTCCTGTTGAGTGATACTTGGCAGTTGCAGTTGCATGATTTTCCACTTTGACCAAGAGTCGAAACCTGTGACGTGGTGTGCCGGTCAGTTCGTTCGTCCTTCCCCTGCAAGGATGATATGACAAGACCCACGGCGCAAGACTGCCTCAGGAGCCGTCATGAATTCAACTGACCCAACATGGGAAGTCCATTTTTTATTCTCAGCTAAAAAGGGAACTCATTTTGTGGCAAACATGTGAAATGTTCGTGTATTGGAGTGAATTCCTTTGGCTCAAGCACCCCGCAAGCCAAATCTCTCAGCATAATTTCTGTGTCCCAGTGACTTTACTGCCTCATCGGATTTCCGCACGACTGGGGTATGAAAATATGAAACGATCCGTTTTTTGATGTTTTTTTGGGCTTGAGAAGTTTGACCCGGACCCAGAATGACCCAGATATTTCATGATATTTCCTCAAACTGAGTGCTGGCTTCCATGCTTTTCGTGCGATTTTCAAGGAACCCTTGGCTGACTGGAACAATCGATGCAACTCCAGAGTCCGGAATCTTGGTACCTCACAGATGGAGCTGAAAATTGGGATCTGCCAAGTCAACTGTGCCAACGTTGTGCTCTGATGCCAAAATATGCCAAACTGCAGTCTGAAATCCAGGCCTCTACTTCCAGAGACATTCAGTGCCCTGATGCAGCCCGGAAGCTTGGAAGGGGTCTAGTTGGGTTTAAACAAATGGGGGATAACAGCCAAACGCAGTGCCCCCGACTTCCCCCTGCGAAACACGGGGCCATGTTTTCCTAGCCGGAACATGCAAACATATCCATTTGATACTGAACAAATCAATGAGTATCAACAATCATGTGATAGGAACATGCTAAAAATACAGATAATGTGGGTAAAACAATAAAACAACACATGTGGGAATGCTTTATACCACTTACAGTATTTATCGTGATTTGGGGGATGGTTTATTATTTTACCCACATTACATTACTGGTTGGTGGTTTGGACCATTTTTTATTTTTCCATTCAGTTTGGAATGTCATCACCCCAACTGACGAAGTCATATTTTTCAGAGGGGTAGGTATACCACCAACCAGATAGTGTTTTATGTTTCTTTTTTTTCTTTTTAAAGGCATTTCCAGATATGTTCATCCCGAAAATTTATGGCATTTCCAGATTAGATACATCAGATACTCATCCGAAAAACCTGTTGCGGCTGGGTGATTTGGCCCTTTTTTTCACGTCGGATCCGAGCGGATGCCCTGATGATTCGATGCTCCGATGCTCAGGTCGCATGCGCAGTCCAAGTTCTTCCAGGCCCCCAAGATTTTGGTGGCCGAAAATGATGAACATGTCAACTGATATTGGATGTTTTGGATGTGTGTATACATATATATAATATATATATATAAACATATAATTATACTTTATATTGTATATATATATATATGTATATAATTAATTACATACAACTATATATATATATGTATATATATGTATATTTGAGAATTCCAGTCAGTTGGAGAAACCTCAGCTTTTCAGTCTTGACGTGACACGTTGTGATGTGGCAGGTGCTGATGAACGTCGTTGCCAGCGAGATCAAGGTAGGCTTTGGATCACAGCCCTCAAAATTAATGGATCCACTTGGCACATCCATGGATTGCATGGACCGTTCACCAGGGTGGAAGCTTTGATTGGGGAGCCTCTAATCCATTAAAATCCATTACTAGGTAGTGAACTCTTAATTTTATCCCCATAAGAGTTCCCCATTACTATACCAATGATAATCCATTATAATCCATACCTATAATCCATAGTGAACTCTTAATTTAATCATTGGTTTATCATTGGTCACCATAGCTCCCCATTGGTTCCAGGGCTTGGCACGGCTGCAGGTGGGTCGCCTTCGTTTGATCCGAGAAGTGCTTCTGAACTTTGATCCCATGGGCAGCGGCTACATCTCAACCAGGGACTTGGAGGCTGCGGATTGATGATTTTCATGGATTGGACCTACATAGTTCTTTTTTTGGTATGGAGAGATGATCTCTTTTGCTTTGGGATATATATATATAAATAATATACATACATACATAATACACACATATATATATCTATATACATATTACTGTATACATGGTTCAAATAGCTTTAAATGAACAAAGGATGTTGCCATCACTGCGAGCTGCAGGTGGTCTTCAAAGAGTTATCCATCTCAGGCCCCACCACGGAGCAGGCCTTGGCTTGGCTCTTTGTTGCGGAAATTGGAGGGAAAAAACCAAGGGCTCCAACAAAATCCCAGAGGTTTCTCCAGTTTCTCCCCGGATTCCAGGCACTTCGAGCATTGGATGTAGCTGGTACCGGTCAGGTGCGCCGAGTGGGCTCTCAGGGTCGATGAAGTGATATAGATTTGTAACTAGTGATGAATGTCAATGAGTCTAGAGACCAACTACCCGGCTCTTCCTTAAAAACTGCTGGAAGTTTTTTAGTTCATCATTTTCCCAGCATTTTCCCATGTGATTTCCCATGGTGCCCCTATGATTCCCCAGTGGGCTGCGCTTCCCAGATCTCCTACACCCTCTTCATGTCCGGATGTGTTGATCTCGTGGATGACAAGCTGGACCACATGCTGTGGAAGGCCAGTGGGACCAGTGGGATGGGGATGCGTCAAAACTTCGATTGTTACTGGGGGAATAAAATTGAATAAACAATCATAAACATCCAGGAAAACCAGCCAGTTTAGGGTACCATCCGGGTCCCAGGGTTTTGACTCATAGCCATCCATATAGATAAAATGATATACAATGTGTATACAGTGTATACATTTAAATTTCGTCCCTGGCACCATGAGCTGTCGCAGGTCTTCAGCATGGTTGATGAAGATTGCACTGGAGAGATCGAGAGCGTGGTGACAGCTTCAGAGGGAACCCAGCTGGATGGTAACCATGGAATATGGATGGAATATGGATGGAATACGGATCTAATATGGATGGAAAAGGATAGATTGAAGAAATTGAAGGTCGATGCTGGAAGTTTTTAGTGGAAAGCAGCGATTTATGACTTTCTTCAGACTGCTGGCATCCCTGCAGCATCCCTGTTTGTGCAGCTTTTTGCCCGCCGCGACCTGCCAGTGGATTCGTCGCATCAACGCAACAAAATGAAAGGAACATCAGAGTCATGGACAAAAATCAATCAAAACTGGTCAAACTGATTCAAATGTGTCCAATTAAAATCAATCTTTTGGATTTTTGATCAGTTTGAACATCTAACTTCTTCATACGTCTAAGACTTCCAATGGAAAACCGTGGGTGCTGAGCCTACATCCTGTGACAATGAACGGCCACCCACCACTGGGCATCACCAACTATTGGCTGGAATTCCCACACGATCGGGAAGATCATTTTGCAAGTGGGATTGAAATCAACTAGTGATGTTTGGAATCGCTACCATGACCCGACTATCGATGTTTAATCCAAACGTACCCCCAAATCAAACATTTCCCCTAAAACTACGGCTGATCCAGTGCTGAAACCCCAATGCCTTGAAAACATCATTGTTTTTTTTTTTTTATGGATACCATATTTTTTTGAGTGGTTTCATCATGTTTCATCCACCTTTTTGATGGTTACATCGAGTTGCATCGGTTACATCCCCACATCTCTCCATCATAGCCATTGGGCAATGGTGACCCATGAGATGGTGGGTGGCCAGCCTTGGTGCCGTGCTGGGCCTCAACAAAGAAGAAGCACCTTGGCCTTGAGAATTGCAGTAATGCAGTGGCGGCAACCCAACAGCTCCGCTGTTGATTGATGATATGGGGTGATACTATGATATATATATATATATTTTGACATTGGGATTTTGAAGGATTTTATCCCCAAACTGGCAATTCTGCAACATTTCACCCAGGAAAATGGGGGTTCAAACAATAGACATGGGGGATGCAATCATCACACATACGAATTTAACCAACATAAATCGGATTTCATCAAGCAAGAGGTCTACAGGCTTGACTGTTTCTCGCCATAAAGAAGAGGTTGGCTACCGGCCTGGTGAACAGTGGTACTGGTCGGTTTCGAACATCTGTTGACTTGCATGATTCTTCATCCATATTGCAACCAATTGAATTTACAGTTTTGGAATCAATTATTTCAATGATGGACCACTCCGATGAAGGAACATCTTCCGGGAAAAGCTATATCTAACGTTAAGACCTTGGTTTTCCATGAGATTTCCTTTCAACCCAATGAATTCGGATATGTTTGGATCGCCCGTTGGCTACCGGTTGTGTCCTCCAGTGCCTTCACAGGACTTGCTTGCAAATCAGATGGAGGAGGCTCGGAACCCATCCCATCTGCTGCCTAAAGGCACCAGTGACCTCAGTGCAAGTTGAATTTCCGCCAAAACGACCACGAAAGTTTGGGAGTGATCCAACAAATGATTTGAGCACTAGAACATGAGGATTGAAGAAACATGTGTGCAACTGCACCCAATTATTTTGGAAGCCAGGGGTTTTTGGACCTTGGAGGGTTGAAGCCCGGCTTGATGAATTGTGACAAATGAGATCAGAAGGATACCGGGTTCTGTCCCAGTTCTTTTTTCAGGAAAAAAATATGTTGGAGAATTGTGGAGGCTGGCAAAATGGCAACAGAAATCTGTGTCCGATATCCGATTTATATTCCTCTCTTTCTTTACGCTGGTGTTTCATCTCCCGGCGAATCTCCATTTCTGATTCCTTCCCAGAAAACAATAGCACTCAAGATACAATAGACACAGCTTGGCTTGTGATTTTAGGATTCCTGAGACTGGAGTTGCTAAGCAGTCAACCAGGCTTTCGATTGAGAGCCCACAGCATGGTTGGATGGGACTATACCATCCAAAAACAAAATACCTTCCCCTCCGATATGAATCATCAATTATATATCAATATACCAAACATTGAATTCATCATCAAGATTGATTAGCCCCAAATTATCAGCAATTTTATGCCAAGTATAAACTATCAACAGTTAATAATCATTGACATGAATATAAGTCTTCTTCATCAACATTGATTCTCATCAATTTCCACAAAACTCTGGTGATTACCCAGCAAAAACATGAACTTGACTTTTTTGAGATGATGAAGAGCCCTTGAACTACCAGCGACTTCGGTTTTTTTTCACCGTTTTAATCATTTTTAATCCAGCTGCGGGTCAGGATTTCCTTCCAGGTGCTGAACCATGTGAGAAGTCGAGGCTTCCAAGAGTCGGATCGCAGGGCTCGGCTGCTGCAGCAGGCGCCGCCGCGAGGGGGTCACCAGGAATGCTATGACCCAGTGATGTATGGAATAGATTCTATATATATATATATATGATATATCTGATATATCCCTGAAAATTGATGGTTTACATGGTTTATCCTCAGATTCTCTTGGCTCCGCAACATAGGAGATCAATGGGATAAACTGGATATATAAAATGTTCAGCAATAGATGAGTCACCGCCAAAAAATGAATGGTGAAATAACAAAAGCCATCGGAAGCAACCCCAATATTCGCTCGAGTCGATGTAGTGAGTGTCAGGGCAGCATGTGAAGGGGGCGCCGTGAAATAGCTGGTGTTGGGAAAGAGGATCGCACAATTTGCTGCCCGGTGGTTCTTCATATTCTTGGTTTTTCAGTTTTTCATCCTTTCTGGGATACTGATCAAAAGAAGCGACATAGTCTTGGGTTGGATTAAACCCATGACTAGCTGATTGTGGCTAAAAATCTCCTATTCTGATCATATGGATGTGACTAGCATCGATGAGTTGAGATCACTCAGCATTTTTTGAATGGCTTTGTCCGAACATGGGGTACTTACTGTATCCTCTATTTTCAGAGAAATCTAAGTTACCATAAAGTGACCATTTAATCGTTTGGTCACCACTTAGTCGCCAACAACCCTCAAACATATGGCCATGTCAAATGTTGTTTATGGATTAAATTTACAATTCTTGATGGAACAACAGGTAAAACTGATGGTTAAACCCCCATCAACGTTGCCATAGGGTTCCCCCACCCAGGACGCGGTTGCGCGGCTGCGGCGCCAGTTGCTGGAGGCCTCCCTTGCGTCGCCGCGGCCGCAGGCCTCGGACCGGCCACGCTTCGCGTGTCCACCACCGGGTGCTTTGGTGAAAGAGATTGCCCTCTGGGAATTTAACATAGCTATTGAAAATGGTGATTTATAGTGGATTTTCCCATGAAAAATGGTGATTTTCCATAGCTATGTTAAATTACCAGAGGGTAAATTAATGGGCTTATCATGGGTATGTGATAGGTACATGAGGGGTGTATGATGGGATGTTTAAAGATGATGTACCTATAAAAGTGGTAATTTAATGGCATTTAATGATGGGATATCATTGTGATATGATGGGAAATCCCCTCTAAATGGAGGTTTTATAGCTATTTTCAAATCATCGTTCAGAAAATGGGCTACAAAAAGCCACGTTTGATTACTGGAGGGGCCTGGGAATTGACCCATGATTTTTCTGGTGATTGAATGACATATTGATGGGGATATTTTTGGTCGCGATCTGGTGAGGAGATTCGATGTTTTTTTTTTGGGGACTATTGAGGCTATCGTGGTGATGGATGTATACGTATATATTAAAGCTGGTGATATTAAATGGGGATACAATACATATATATATATATATATCATGTTAATGGGGATACAATGGGGATTTTTTGTGAAGATACAATGTGGTATAGAATTTTTGGATAAGTAGCCAACAATGAATGATATTTGATACGTTTGGGGTTATCCAGCACCGAGATATACCCCGTCAGACTGCAATGAATTACCATGGGAACCATGGATTAATTCACCAGTGGATTATCCAGTGGATTAATGTGGTAGACCCCGTTCTGAACGATTCTTGGAGAAAGCTAAGATTGATAGATTGTTCAGTATCGGTGAGGGTTGGTACTGAAGTGAGTTCCAGAGAAGGAGCATGTCAAGGGTATGCACATCCAAATAAACGACAACTAGTTGTTTTGGTCACATTTTTGGGAAGACATGACTGTCACATGACATTAGAATCATTAGAATATGCACATCTTCACGTTTTTGTCCTTTTTTTGTTGGACCTGGGGTGGATGGGATGTTGGACCCGCAAAAACGATGGTAAGGTGCTGGCATTCCGGAGATGGGCTATGGCACCGATATTGAGGCAGGTCATCATTTAACAGCAAGGAGGTTTCTTGAAATGGGGAATCCTCAAGTCACCATGGGTTTCAAGACTAACATGGTCTAGTTTTGGAATTTTAGGACACCTTCATTTATGCTGGATGGTGATGATGGTGGATACAGCCTGCAGTCAGAATGACTGAATGGGAAAGTCGAGCATTTTCTAAAATGTCATCACTTTTGTGTCAGTGATATGGGTTCATCCGAAACACACTATTTTATGGCCATTTTAATGGAAAAAGCGATGGTTACTATCAACACTTGGGACACCCGTTTTTCAGACCCACACGGCACAGGAGTTCCACTACCAGCGACACCAGATGTGGGCGGAAGAACAGGACCTCTGTCGTCGCTCCTTTGGTCTGTGGACCTATGGCGGAAAGAGTTCCTGCGCCATCAGGTGGGGATGGGAAGAATCTGGGCTAGGTGGGCCTGAGCTTCAGCTCTTTTTCGATGGTTTTTTGTAGAAGACTATGAAGACTTGCCTTGGCAACAAGAAGTTCTGCGTGTTGTTCAAAGAATCCACAATAGAACCGACAGATGACAATGGGTCAGTGGTCAACACCAGGGTCTTGATCCATACTCAAATGATTTCTGCTGTTCAATTCCCCTGGGTTTTGAGGCTTAACCATACTTAACCATCAATTTCTTCATGGGTCATCGGTCCATATCTTAATGGCCAACCCTTTTTTTAATGGTAAAATCCCAGATATTTTGAAGATGTCAAAGCCTCCAGGGCTGAAGTCATTGGATCAATGGCTGCGCTGGTCCCTGGAGATTTGGTGCTGGATGTTGGCTCCGCCTGTGGGCACATGGCACGCTGGTTCTATGAACCTTGGTCTTGTGCTAGGACAGGGTGAAATTCTGGGTGTTTTCGAATTTGGTAATTTGTTCTGGCTATTTTCCAATTATTCTGTGTTTTTTACAATTAATACTTTCCTTTTTCCAGTTTTTTTTTGCTGGTGTCAAGCATCAACAATTATGGATGATTACGCATTCGATCCCCGGATGTGACACGCAACAGACAACGTCATCGCCACTATTCCCTTGGGGCTGTGGGTCAAAACCCACAGGCCTTTTTTCTTGGGTGAACCTGCATAGCTACCAGCAAAATTTTGGTGTGAAAAGCCAGCCAGCCCAACAGGTTTTGACCCAAATCTGAGTGGTCTCTAGATACAGGTTTTGACCCAAATCTGAGTGGTCTCTAGATACTTCACCCTGACATGTTTTTTGAATTGACATCAATGTTCTGCAGCAAAAAAAGGTCATCATGCTGCTCCAAAGAGTTGCTGTGTCGGCGGCGGTCAGGATTGGTATGGTGCGAAGACCTTAGGTGTTGACTTCCAGCCAGCTGCAACTGCCTTCGCGGAAAAGTATGTGGCTTCGCCCAAAATGATCCCCTTGCAACAAAATGATCCCTGGGCAGTTGGGTGTGTCAAGCAAAGATCTATCCAGAAAGGATTGTTGTTCATCTGACTCGGTTTTCTGTTTCTTTCTGTTGTTAAGATGAACGAACTAAAAACAGTTCTCAGTTCATTTACAGTTTAATATCACAGTTCTCTTCCTTTTTCGGCCATGAAACCGTCGCAACGACATTGGTCACTGGAGGTCACACCTTTCGCACCTGCGCAATTTTGCTGGTGACCTGGCATCAACTGAGTGACTGCGAACAAACCCCGGTGGATGATTATTTTTTGTTGGGGAATTCTACTAACCAATCTATTGGAGAAGATCATACTCCATGAATGGGGAATCACTGTTGTCACTGTTGCTTGATGTTGATGGTGCTTGTTGCTGCGGTTTTTCTAGTCTAAGTTGGTGTTTTTCCCAAATGCGTAGCAAGGGTTCCCGTTTCACTCTGGGGGTCTGGGGGCTGAGGGTGTGTTCGCTCGACGTTGCGTTTACGTCCGCAACCGTCCGCAACCGTCTGCAACCGTCCGCAACCGTCCGCAACCGTTCGCAACCGTTCGCGCGATCCCCGTATGGCCGTGCCTATGGTAAGTTCGGCAGAAGGGGTCATTTTTGGAGGTTTCAAACGTCTCGTTGCTTCGTTTTGCGTGACAGGCGTGGCACTTCGTGACATTCAGACGTGTTTTGTAACGCGTGTCGAAAATCGTTTTGTGTGGCGGGCGCAATACTTTTGCGACGTTTTCCGAAGATGCGTTGCAGTTTTCCTGGCAGGCGCAACACTTTGGAGGTGTCCAGCGTCATTTTGCGTGGCAGGCGCAGCACTTCAGACGTGTCGCGTTGCGTGTTTTTTGCGAATCGCATTGTCAGGGCTGCGTCAAGTGGCGACAAGGTGCAGATTCCGTGGCAGGCGTGGCGTTTTGTGAGATGTGATGGAAATTGATCGATTTTGAGGTAGCAAATTTAGAGGTTCCTAACAAAACTCGGAGGAAAACGTCGATTTTGAAGCTACAAAGTCTGAAAATTGGAGGAAGTCTCGCACGAAATGCTCGCCCACGTGTCTCGTCTCGAGTCTCTGGTTTTCCTGTGGCCTCGCCGTGTCTATGGGGGAAGCTGCAAAACCTCTCCTTCTCGAAGGTTTTCAAGCAGGTTGTCATGTCGTTTTGCGTGGACGGCGTGGCGCTTTGTGACATTCCAACCCGTGTCGAAGGTCGTCGTGTGTGGCAGGCGCAATACTTTTGCGTCCTGTTCACAAGACGAGTTACAGTTTTCGTGGCCAACGCAGCACTTTGGACGTGTCCAGTGTCATTTTGCGTGGCAGGCGCTGCGCTCCACACTCCACACTCCACACGCTACACTCCACACTCCACCCTTTACACTCCACACTCCGCCCTTTACAATTCACACTTTACATTCCACACTTTACACTCTACACTCCACACTCCCCACTTTACACTCCACACTTTACACTCTACACTCCACACTTTAGACACCACACTCCCCACACTACACTTTGCACTCCACACTCTACACTCTACACTCCACACTTTAGACTCCACACTTTACACTCTACACTTTACACCCTACACTTTACACACCACACTCCACAATGGACACTGTACACTCCACACTACTCAATCCACACTCTACATTTGACACTCGACACTTGACATTCCAAATTTTACACTCTACACTTTACACTCTACACTTTACACTCCACACTCCACAGTCTACACTCCACACTTTACACTCCACACTCCACACTGTACACTCCACACTCTACACTTTACTCTCCACTCTCCACATCCGCACTTTACACTTTTAGACGCCACATTTTACACCCCACACTTTACAATTTACACTCTACACTTTACACTCCACACTCCACACTCTACACTCCCCACTCCACAGTCTACACTCCACACTCCACAGTCTACACTCCAGAGTCCACAGTCTACACTCCACACTCCACACTTTACACTATACACTTTACACTCTACACTCTGCACTTTACACTCCACACTCCTCCCTAGACACTCTACACTTTACACTCCACACTTTGCACTCCACACTTTACATTCCACACTTTACACTCTACATTTTACACTCTGCCCTTTACACTCTCCACACTCTACACACAACACTCCCCACTTTACACTCCACACTCTACACTTTACACTCCACACTCTACACTTTACACTCCACACTTTACACTTCGCACTCCACACTTTACACTGTACACTCCACACTCCTCACTCGACACTCTACACTTTACACTCCGCACTGTGCACTCCACACTCTGCACTCCACACTCCACAGTCTACACTCCACACTCCACACTCTGAACTTTACACACTACACTTTGCACTTTACACTCCACACTCTGCACTTTACACTCCACACTCTACACTCTACACTCCAGACTTTACACTCCACACTCCACACTCTACACTCCACACTTTACAATTTACACTCCACACTTTACATTCCACACTCCACACTCCACACTCGACACTTTACACGCTCTACACTTTACTCTCCACACTTCATACTCTACACTCCACACTTTACACTCCACACTCCTTTCTCTACACTCCACAATCCACACTCTACACTCCACCCTCCACACTCCACACTTTACCCACTGCACACTCCACACTCCACACTTTACACTCCACACTCCTTACTTTACACCCCACACTCCACACTCTGCACTGCACACTTTTCACACTCTACAATATACTCTCCACACTTCCCACACTGCACTTTAAACTCCACACTCTACACTTTACCCACTGCACACTCGACCACGCTCTGCACATTACACACTCCACATTCCTCACTCCACACTCCACACTTTACACTTCACACTTTACACTCCACACTCCTTACTTTACAGTCCGCACTCCACACTCTACACTTTCCACTCCAAACTCCACACTCTACACTTGACATGCCACACTCCGCACTCTACACTTTACACGTTACATTTTTCACTCCTCACTCCATGCTCCACACTCTACACTTTACACACTCTACACTCCCCACTCCACACTCCACACTCTACACTTTCCACTCCACACTCCACACTTGACATGCCACACTCCACGCTCTACACTTTACACTGTACATTTTTCACTCCTCACTCCACACTTTGCATTTTACACTCCTCACTCCACACTTTACATTCCACACTCCACACTCCCCACTTTACACTCCAGACTCTGCACTCTACACTTCACACTCTACTCTTCGCATTCCACACTTTACACTACACTCTACACTCCACACTTTACACTTTACACTGTGCACTCCTCACTCCACACTTTACACTCCTCACTCCACACTCCACACTCTCTTAACACACTCTACACTCCCCACTCCACACTTTATACTCCACACTCCTTACTTAACACTCCGCACTCTACACTCCACACTCTACACTTTCCACTCCACACTCCACACTCTACACTTTACACACTCCACACTCCTCACTCCACACTTTCCACTCCACACCGCAGACTGGTAACAGGGGAAATATGTACAAGACTGTTCAAATAAACTATTGCAGAAAGTGTTCTGCGTGACTGCATACCCATGTGTTTCGACATCTGTACCATTAACATACGCGTGAGCATTCGGATTGGTGGGCTGCATCTGGTTTGACTGTGTGAACAGCGTCTGGTGTAACATCTGATGCATTACGGGCTTGTACGAAATAGAGGATCAAATCCACTGGCTCATCATCACTTTTACCATTAACGTGCAATTTTGGTGTCTAGACAGCACCCACATATATCAAGTACCAGGTTGTTGGTTATGTATATATATATATACATACATACGTACGTACGTACATACATACATACATACATACATACATACGCATACATACATACGCATACATACACATACATACACATACATACACATACATACACATACATACACATACATACACATACATACACATACATACACATACATACACATACAAACATACATACATACAGACACACATACATACATACATGCATACATACATGCATACATACATACATACATACATACGCATACATACGCATACATACGCATACATACGCATACATACGCATACATACGCATACATACGCATACATACGCATACATACGCATACATGCGCATACATATACATACGCATACATACGCATACATACGCATACATACGCATACATACGCATACATACGATACATACACATACATACACATACATACACATACATACACATACATACACATACATACACATACATACACATACATACACATACATACACATACATACACATACATACACATACATACACATACATACACATACCTACACATACATACACATACATACACATACATACACATACATACACATACATACACATACATACACATACATACACATACATGCACATACATGCACATACATGCACATACATGCACATACATGCACATACATACACATACATACACATACATACACATACATACACATACATACACATACATACATACATACATACATACATACATACATACATACATACATACATACATACATACATACATACATACATACATACATACATACATACATACATACATACATACATACATACATACATACATACATACATACATACATTAATACATACATTAATACATACATACATACATACATACATACATACATACATACATACATACATACATACATACATACATACATACATACATACATACATACATACTACATACATACATACATACATACATACATACATACATACATACATACATACATACATACATACATACATACATACATACATACATACATACATACATACATACATACATACATACATACATACATACATACATACATACCTCTCTCTCTCTCTCTATAAACCATTAAATCACAGTTTTTGATCTGTCAATCAGTCAATCCCCATGATTTCCCATTAGCCCCGCTTTGCAACGCAACAGTGAAAGGTTCCAGCAAGGTTCCAGGACTGTTCCAGTTTTTCGGGGCGTGCATTTTCGTCTCACCAGTCCCCGGCCCCAGAGATTGAAACCCGACAATCCCCCATTCAGTTCGATGATTGTCCAGCTATACACCTCCATTCACTTGTGGGATTCCCAGCTTGCGCTTGCCATGTTTGATGACACCAGAGGGTCTATCCCATTAAATCTCAGTACAAACTACATTATATCACCAGTTTTGATGGCTAAATTCCCATCATATCCGCATTGTGCACCCATTATATCCTCAAATATATCCTCTATTTCATCCCCATCATATACCTGCCATATCCCCAGCATATCCCCATGATATCCCCATCAATTTTGATTTCTAAGGTTGGATGTGTCATCACAGCTGGGGGATTGGCTTCCAAATCGATCTGTCAAGTTGGCCACCGCCATCAGTGCTGCCCGGCTCTACTGGACTTATCACGGAATCATAGGGGACCTATCGGATTTACCAATGAAAAATGTTGATTTGAAGAGCACGTCGTTGTTCTTGGAGAATTTGTGCCACAGAACAAAGAATTTGTGCCTCTGACTGCCCCGACAAATGCCAAGTCACAATGGCCGAAAGGTTGCGGGTCCTGGTTTTGTTCGCCTGGAGTTTGAGATCATCATAGATCATCTAAAGTCTTGGAATATCTACGTAGCGACTCCAATCGTTGGCAGGCAGGGGGTTGCAGGGTTGTATCCCAACTCATGGGGGTAATCACCATGGTACCAGGGTTACATATACCATGGTTATACCCATGAACAATCCCAACTGCACCACTCTGGGGAGTCAGAAGTGGAGCCTACCTAATGGCTGCAGCTTTCGACTTTTGTGCCAGTCGGGGGCTGAACCTAGTCCCAATTGCGGCGCCTTGGCATAACTTTGACTGTAGAATCCCAGTCTTTTACTTGTTTCTTGCTGCCCCAGACATTTCTAACTGTTTTGGTGGGAGGAAGATGCTACAAATCAGACAGAGTAACTGAGGTATCCAAAACGTGAGTCGCACACCTTGCCACCTGCTGCCTGACACGCAGAAAACGCAGTCTGGATCTCAGTCTCCGGTGGAAGTGTCATTGCTTCGTAGGATCTACAAGGATGGTAAGTTGTAAAAGAAACCCATCGACTCTCTTCAATAATTAGGGAATCCTTTGGTCCGAAAATGGGATATCTCCATATATTTGGGAATATGGGTCTCCAAATGGAATACCCAAGGATATGGAAATATGGGGCATCCCAAATTCCAAGGATTCTCAGCATCTTTCCATATCCAGCTCGAGGTGCCGAGTGACGCGAGAGATGTTCCGTGCCACCGCAGTGGGTGGACACACCTGGGTCGCTCACAATGGCGTTTACCAGGCTGAAGCTGCTTTGCCTCAGCAGAAAATGCAGACAGCTTGGGGGTTGAGATCATAATAGATCACATGAGTAGAAAATTATCAGCATTTGCTATTATCCGTAATGGATTGAATCTTATTTCCCGTTCTAAGTGGTTACATCCCAGTCACGATCTTCACTCTCCTGCCTCCCTGGAGTTTAACGTGATCTACTTTCAGGGAATGTCATATGACCACATTATTATTGTCATTGTAGTGGTTGTTATCCCTTACTGTTACTAGGTATTGCTATGATTACTGCTGTTCTTGTTACTAGTATTACTATTACTATTTATGATTGTAATTATGTGTAATATATACGTATATATATATATATAGACACACACTCACACACACACACACACCCCATATTTCATAATCCATAGGCATACCGCCACCATAGCTTCTTTGGACTGGTAGTTCCACTGCCTTTTGAGACAACCGCTCCTTCCCAGTTCACCGCGATACCGCCAGGGGAAGTGGGATCCGAAGCGGGTCTGGGGCAGTCAGTACTGGAAGTGCTGCTTCCATGGTGAGCTGAGACGGAAAGAGGCTGTCTTGATTGAGGTGCTAAGTGGCAGGGCGACCACACGGGGAAACAATGTGGAAGACGAAGTCCATATTGTGTTTACTACATGTCCATGCAGTATGTAGTGTTTGCATGTGTGTACATATATCTATGTACATGTATGAAGATGCGTAGATGTGTGTGTGCGATATGTATGATATGTTCGTATGCCAATAATATATATATATATATATAAATATATATACATATATATTTCGTCTACGAGGCATGCGAGCGCGGCATACTCTTCAGCCGGTTCGTCGGATGCGGAAAGTTCATTGACAAGAGGTGCATGTATGTCGACATCAAGCCTGTCGACATTGGAGGATCGTCGCTCGCGCAAGTCGAGATCCGGCGCGCCAGCGCTGCCAACATTTTGCGGGACCACTTCCATGCTCTGCCAGCACGTGAACTACATCGGCTTCAACGAATGCGACATCCTTTACACCGCCGTGTGCTCCGAGACATGCCGAATCAGCTGATGCTATCGGGGAGTACCAGCCAGGCGTCGTGATCGTCAACTGCATGGACAGCAGGGCCGACGAATGCATCGACCACATCTACGGCTTCATCTGCGAGGGCGTGCAGGAGAAGGTGTGCATCTTGTACGAGGTCTCACCATGCAGCGACTGCGTTGCCTGGGATTGGCTCGGACGCATCCCTGGCTGGCGTGTGGACTACAGCGTCGGCAGGCCCAGGAAGCAACGCTTCACATTATGTGCGTGGATGACCAGAGAATTCGGCTACGTCAGAGGGGCGCCAACTGGGAAACCTTCTGCTCCTCCGTGGGCAGCTCCTGGAAGAACTTGCGGTTCGACGGCGGCTCAGCCATGTTCTTGACCGACATCTTGAGCCCCCTCGAACGCCAGATCTACGAGCATGGTACACAGAACATCATGCAACGCGGACGCAGCTTCAAGAGCAGCGTAGACTAAGGCTGCCTCAGGGACGACGTCAGCTACTGCCCCGGGCCCATCTTCACGAACGTCGGCGTCATCGGCCGATGCAGCGTTGTGCATCGGAAAGCGCATATAGCTTAGCCGTCGACTCCGGGATGCATGCGTTCAGAAGCGCATTGGGGAACCACGGCCTCGAGAGCGACGACTACGTGATAGCGGAACAGTCGCATGACGGCATCCATGCAGCGATGCGGAGGCGCTATGCCTTCAGCGTCCGTCGGTCCTGCAGGAGAATTCTCCTCGGCGTAAGCAGCGACGTCGCCGACTATTTCGTCGCCAACCTCAACGTGGACGCCGGAAGTATCAGATGGCTCAGCGTGGAAGAACTGCTCAGCATGGGCTGCTTCAACTCAAAAAGCGCCTGCGGCCCGCAGATTCAGAGCGTTGCACGGCTTCAACAGCTCTGACCTCGTCGGTACGAAAGAGGGCGTCGAGCTCCTCCACGCAACGAGGGCTAAGCTTAGACAGGGCATCATCGCAGGCTGCTGGCACGCAGCGTCCAAGCTCGAACCGAAAAGTTGCGACCTGGACGTCAGCCTACCTACGTGGCTCTTCATATTCCTTGAAAATCACAATCGCTTCAGTGAACAGGGAACAGGACGTTTGATGAACGTCGCCTGAAGCAGGCGATCCATTCTTGTCCGGGGCATCCAGGCCAGCTCGCCAGTCAACGCGCCAAAGTGTGGCAAGGCTCGCTGCCTTGGCACGAAGGTGCTCCTACACCTATGAATGTGGGCCCGATTGCATCAGCGAGTACTTCAACGTCAACGCCAAGGTCGTACACATCCACTGCAAGCAACACCCAGTTATACTCAAGATACCCTGCTCTCCAACACTGCATTTCATGACACCATTTCTATGCGGTTGGGGGTAAGGATTTTTGAAGATAACCAGGCTTGTTCGGTTTGCCACCAATATTTGGATCCGTATGGCCATCCATCATTGTCACGGTTGCATGGGACAAGGTCACAAACAACAAATGCACACGAGTTTCCGCAATGTAGTGTACCGGTTGGCCTCCAGAGCTGGTGCTCGACCCATCCTCGAACCTGACCACTTGCTTCCTGCTACCCCGCAGACCCGACCGGCGGATACAATCCTCTTGGAGACGTTTCCTCTTGATTGTGCCATCACCACCCCTTTCAGGGTCCGCCCTCACTCGCGCCCTAGCTCCTCCCTTGAATGCTGCCACCCGCTACACCGAGCTTAAGCGCAAACACACAGACATGCAAGCCCGCTGGGCACGCCATAACTTAGGTTTCGAACCTTTGATCCTTGAAAGCACCGGGGGTTCGGCCGGGAAACGGCCACCGTGATTGTGCAAATTGGTTGACACCAAGGAACAGCTGGCCAGTGGTCAAACGTGGAAAGAATTCCAAATCCGAATATCAGTGGACTTGCAACGGGGCTTGCATGGAGCTTGCCTAAGGCAGAGAAGGACTTGCCGCGCCTTTCACTGAGGTGGGGTCGGCTTTCTTGGCCTTTGCCTGTAGGTCCCGCATTGCGCCTGCGCTGCCAGTCGCCTGCCTGCCGCGCTGCTGCTTGCTACCCATACCATCCTCGGCTAGTTCCCGCTTTGTGTTCAGAACTAGTGCCAACCTGCACCTCTGCCGGGTCGATCAATCGTTGGTTTGGGCCCCCTTGCGTTGGAGCCTGATGTTGGAACCCACTGTATCGCGAAGCGATGCCGGGCTGTGGGAGGGCGTGGGTTCCTTTCAGGACTCTTTTATTTTTGTTGATTCATCTGGCAGTCTTTTCATGTGACTCCGTCCCAACGCGGACCCTTTGGCAGGGTTTCATTCCCTTCCAAGAAGGTTTACCCCTGCATATGTCACATAGCCACTAAATGTACATTTAAACATATATCATATATGTATATATAAATATATGTACATATACATATACATATCTATATATACATACATATACATATGTATATATACATGTAGATGTATATCTATACACACATATATATATATATCTATACACACACATATATATATACACATGCATGCATGCATGCATGCATGCATGCATGCATGCATGCATCCATACACACACACACATACATACATACATACATCCATGCATACATACGTACATGCATACATACATACATACATACATACATACATACACACACATACACACACACATATATATATATATATATACACACATTTTTACAAATCTACACATGTATATGCATACCTCCTACGGACCTGTCCATGAGCTTGCCAGTCGGTGATTGGTATCCTGATCGGTTGAACAGCCGCCCTGGAGCGAATGCCCAGAGACGCTTAAAACATCTGGAGTATTGGTTGCTTCTAGCCATGTTATGTCTGGGGGTTATATCCAACAATTTCGCAGTACATCCATCACCAAATATCCAACTCGAATATATATATATATATATACACATCTAAATAGCATATATAAATAATACCATATATATAAATAATACCATATATATAAATATATCAATATTTATACATATATCGATTATAATGCATATATGTTTTTATATTTTTTACATGATATGATATTTTTATATTTTAGATACAAAGTATAAACTAGATAGATAGATAGATAGAAAGATAGATAGATAGATAGATATATTGCACGTAATATACAACATTTAGAATATATATATATAATTTACAATTGATATACAATTAATATACAATTAATAATATATATATATATTTAAATAACATAATATGATTTAATATGATCTAAGATATAATATAATGTAATGTAATGTAATAAATATAACTATATATATATAATGTAATGTAATGTAATAAATATAACTATATATATATAATTGCAATATAGTATATATATACACATATAGTATAATGTATTTATATATATGTGTATATGTCAAAATATACAAAATAAAATATTTAGTAATAAAATTAATAATACATATAGTAGTAATATATATATATACATAAATACATATGTAATAATAGTGTTCATAATAACGCTAATATATAACATATATATATGTATTATCTCATTATATTATATTTATATCTATATTTCTGTATATGGTATCCCCCCAATTATTTAACTGGATTGTACCTAATTATATGTCAATTAAATATTTCTTGGGTTCACCTCACCTTCAGATTGTATGATGTTGCTATCTGGCTACACCAATAATATTCTTGTTATCCCATTGTAAGAGAAGAGAATGGGATTACTATGTGGCTACCCCAATCATAGGTTATCCCAATAATTTATGCATAATAAGTTTGATCGTAGCATCGAGAATCCACAATAAATCTCAATATTTGCACAGGTGCCAAATCCATCCATCCAGTTTGATGATTCTTTACCATTATATAACTCTCAAATGATATGCTATCCTAATCATGTTTTTTTTTTAATGTATCCAGTTAATGAATGCTTATCTACCATAACTTTTACCGCAGGAAAAAACACCCACCGAAAATTTCCTCTTCAGGTGCCAGAAGACGAGATCTTCCAGTGGCCCAGTGGCGTTTAACTTTCAGTGGCTGCAGCTGGTGCCGTAGTTCTTTTTGGTGGGAAAATCAGGGCGAGAATCTCATGATTTATTAGAATCAGTCAAAGTTATTGTAAGTCTGATTTACACAATCCGTTCAATCTATGATATTTTATGATGGGATTGAAAAAAAACACAGGGCTGTCAAAATTCAAAAAAAAATCCAAAGCCAAAGAACTGCAGGTCGGGTGCAGAATGGGAATCTTGGTTTGAATTGGTGATAAGTTGCGTTGGGTCATGGCGCATTCATCCCTGGTGTTTGCACTCATGATGTCCTTCATAGGTGCAACGATCTGACAAATCCAGTTCTTCATCTTGCCCAAAATGGGTATTTCGTTCGGGTTGAGATTTGGCTGTGTTGCTTGGGTCGTCTGAGCATCAAATTTTGCCCAAACATGCCCAAACTGTTCGCAAAAAACTGCAGGGTTCTGTGGCTCTAGAGGGAGCCGAAATTGGCCGACAACGTCCAAAGCAGCCGCCATGGTGTCCTCAGCGAATCGGCAGCAGAGGGTCGATGAGCTGCTTAAGGCTGGAGCGAATCTGGGGGCATCATGGCAGTGGCATTGCCGAAAAACGGCTACATATGGTGTGTAATGGTGTGTAGCAACGTGTACTTGTAGAAATCTGCTACATCTCTCCCCACGCGCTGCAACATCAGGCTGTTAAACTTTTGATTGGAGGGCACAATGCCAACCCAAATCAGGCGGAGCGGGCCATGTTGTGCCTGGTGGGTTTGGGCAATCTTGGCCATCCGGATACCCCAACCGGCTCAACCTGTGTTTGGTTAGAACTTGCAATTCTGCACCAGCCATGTGCCAGTTCCTTACTCTGCAATATTTGGTTGAACTGTGACAGATCCTTTGCTTCCAGTTGCGGCTGCATCATTCGGTTGTTTTGGGAGACTCTTGTCACCTGCTCAATGGAAACCAAAGTTGATCCTGGTTCTTCGTATTTGGGATTTATCCGGTGTTGTCCTCCTTCATTAGCTTTGCGGTCCCACCACATTTTAGTATTTCAAACTTGTTTTTGTTGATGTCCTTTGGGTTGGGCGTCGTTCCGAAAAAGCATTGTCAGGCTTGTCTGAACATCTTCCAAAGTCCCAAAGTTTGTCGTCATTTTGCCCATTACAGTCTTGGGATGTACCGGTATTCCCAATTTTTGGGGAAAACACATTAAAGTTGGAATTTTCCACCCACAATTTCCCCTTGTTGCAAAAGTGATACCATGTGATACCACTCAGTGGGCTCACGTTGAGGTGCGAGTTCCTCCTTCAGCACGGTTGTGCCGTGAACCACGTGGACACGAATCGGCAGACGCCGATATTTTACTCCGTGCGTAACGGCCACGTCTCTTGGTCTAGGATCATCGGAAACATGGGTGAGCCCCAGCTGCATAGCGTAGCCAAGTTCTGCTGTGCCACAGGCAATTCTGCTTGGCATCATGCCCGTCGTAACATTTGCTGTAGTTTTGACCCCAGCTATACATAACATCATAACCTTTCGATTTAAAATTGAGAACCCAAAAATTGATAAATTCTTGCAACGAATGCACAATATCAGGGGTTCGGGGTTGAATCTTAGAACTTGGACCCCAAATTCTAGGGCTCGTTTTCTGGACCAAGATGGCGGCGATCGACGTTTTCCTGAAGCACGGGGCAAAAATGGAGATCGAAGATCTCCATTTTTGCCCCGTGCTTCGGGACAAGAGGGGCTCCATTTGCGGGGCGGATGTGGAGATCAAATTAATCTCTACGTTGGCCCCGCAAATGGAGCCCCTCAAGAGGGGCTCCACGCCCATCCCTTGGGCGGCTGAACCTGGCCGCGTAGATACGATGAGACTCAATTGAAACATCAGAGGTTTTCGTGGCATATGGAGGTTTCCTCACATGGGGGTAACCCCAAATCAGCCAAAATTGTGAGTCCTTCCGGTCCTTTGCCAGTTCAAACGTGTTCAATGACCTCATCCTGCAGTTTTCTGCAAGGAAAGAGCTGATTCAGAAGGGTGCCAGCACCAAGCTCCTGAGTCCCATTGGAGGTGACCTTTTCACCTCTGCTACAGGCTCTCAGATGTAATTTTTTGGGGGGTTGTTGTGATTTTCTTGGCAATGACCCCTCTGTTTGTGACCTGACCACCATGAGTACGTCTCGGACTCCTCCATGGTGAGAGATTCGTTGATTTGACGTTCTTCTGATTTTCTGCTTCCTGCCATTCCTTTCTGGTGAGATTTGGGACCTCAGTGAAAGAGACAGAATGCGCAAGACTGAACCAACAGATAAACGGACAGTGTACAAAGAAAAGGGATACGGGATCTTTGACAGTCACCTCCATCTCTAGTATTATTGGAACTAGATTGAATTTATGTAAACGATACGGACACACACACACACGCACGTATATACTGACAATGAATCATGATATTAATATGTTACTGGAATGTGACACAAAATGAAATTACATAAATATAATATACAATGTAATAAATTCAGGAGAACCTTGAAAAAGGTATGGAGCTTGTTTCACTTGAAAACATTGAACTACTATGATTTTAAGTAAATGTTTATATTAGTATATAAGTAGTTGGACCACGACCCATAGAACAATGGACAAAGAAAGACCAGTAATGTGTATCTTCCCCCAAAAATAGTTTTCTTCACACAGTTTTTTTTCAGCACTTCATCTCGAAATCGCAATTTCGCTATAGCGTGATACTCAGTTTACCAAATGGCGAAGCCATAAAACGCCGCGGCGGTCTATAAGCCGTGCGAAGATGATATCAGCATATCAGTAGCTCATTGTAGTTCCTGGTAGTTCTCGTATCATATCTTTCTACAAATTCATAAGCCTTTTTCAGATTTCTTCCCCCCAAAAAACAGCAGGAAACCCATGGGTGAGACCCACAATCTCTGCAAGGGCCGAATCTACATCCATGGGGATGCCTTGATCTTGGACGTCCAGAAAGGCGCCAAGAGTCGGCGAAACACCGAACCAACGGGGATCAAAAAGTGATAGGCCCCCAAGAAATTCGACACATTCGACACCTCATAGGTCCAGGTTCAAATCCGGTTTGTCGGATGATGTCTGATGGATTTGCTCCCAAATTGTCCATCCTCATCCTTATCCAAAACTTGCCGTCAAGTCGCAAACTCCAAGATGTGAACACCCAAAGGTTAGTCAGAGTCGAGGGGGTTCGCGAGACGGTTTCACCATGTGGCAAGGTGAAACACATTGCGATTCCCTTGACAGGCCCCGGTTTTTTTGGGGTCACTTGGTCACTTGGATGTTGATTGAAACAAGAAAACGCGGCTTGGAACCCACACAGGAACAGCGACGGCATTGCCACGGGGGCTGCATGGCCATGGATATTTTTTGAGCTGGGAACTTGATAGAATGAAACATTTTTAGTTTTTTTGGCTTAACTTGTCTTGCTTTTCTGCTTTGGATTGTATCATGAGTATCATGTTTTATAGATGGTCACGTGGCTGCAGGGTGTCTCTTTGTGGAAAGTGTTTTCATTTTTTTTCTATTGAACCCACTGCATTGAGGAAACTTTGAGAGGATTTTCGCTCAAACCATTTAGTAACCTCAGGGTCCAGGGTGAGGTGGGCAGCCCGGGCAATGTGGTACATCCTTCGGATCTTCTTTGCACTGAGGGCTCTGGCCGAGCCGAACTCGTGGCAAGAAATTACCCCAGTCGGCTCTGTGCCAACCCCCAAACGATTCAATCATATGGTGATGTGGAGCGAGGTTGATGATGGTTTCTATGTCTATGGAGGAAGAGACGAGAATTATGAAAAAAAATGATTTGCACTTCTATTCAAGGCAAACCAATTCTTGGGCAGAAATTGTGCCCAATGGCTCCGTGCCCGCACGGCAAGCTCCGACAGCTGTGTGGAGCAACCAAGCTGATGGGTTCTACGTTTTTGGAGGATGCTGCTGGGAGAATGACTTGCATTTCTATTCCAGGGAGTCCAATTCCTGGGAAAAGCTTTCACCTGCTGGCACCTTACCACTTGGACGAGAAGGGGGGGAATCAGTGTGGGGGGATGCCGCAGATGGTTTCTACGTGTGCGGAGGCTACCAGAGCAATTTTGGAATCATTATTGATCTGGCTTTTTACTCTCGAGCCTCCAATGCGTGGCAGCGGCTTTGGCCCACAGGTTCCCCGCCAGATGCCCGCTACCACCACACCTTGGTATGGAGTGAAATTGATGACGGATTCTATCTCTTTGGAGGTTATGCCAACGTCGCGGAAGACGATGGATACGGGGGCTGGGGCACTTTTCAAAGAAATGATTTGTATCTCTACTCAAGGCAGGCAAACTCGTGGCAAAAACTGGAGCCTAGCGGCATGCCATACTTCAATGCACTCGGGTGGCAGACGTCTTTTCCTCCACGCATTGATGGGCACGCAGCTGTATGGAGCAAACAAAATGATGGATTCTATGTTTTTGGAGGCCATTCCGGCGCCTGGTACATGAATGATGTGTATTTATATTCACGGCAGAAAAATGAATGGCAAGCAATGTGGCCCACTGGCCCAGTTGTCATGGCGCGACATGAACATGCCATCGTGGGAAACCTGGAGGGTTTCTATGTTGTGGGAGGGCGCTACAGTACATTGGACCCCTATGATGATTTGCTTCTGTACATATGGCAGACCACGACCACGACAACAACGTACACATCATCGACGCAGACAACCAATACTTCTACCTCCTCAACGTTTACCTGGACTACCATGACAAGTACGACCATGACAAGCTCGATGACAACATTGACAAGTTCAACATCTACTGTCACGACGTTGACCCACACATCATCCACCACCACGTGGACGACAGCAACAACAACGGCGACATCCACTTGGACGTTGACCAGTGTGCAAGACGAAGCCGCATCCGCATCAGCTTCAGGCGCCGGTATCAAGTTAGTTGTGATTCTGGCTTGGCTTGGCTTGGTGTAGACCTGGGCTTGAAAACCGTTTACTTGCTTTGAGCTGAAGCTGGAGAGGTGCAAGCAGCATACACCCCGAAGGGTCAGAGTGCACAGTGCAAAGTCACCCAACTTGCAACTTCTAGCAGCAGTTTGGTTTCACTCTATTTATTGCTTTTCTTTTGCATCATTGTTCAAGCCTTCAGCCTCAGCTGTGGACGGAAATGAGTGAGACAAACACCTGGGTCAAAGGTGGAGTTACTATGCAGCCAAAAACAACTGACAAACGATGCGAAAGAACATGCTTTGCACAGAAGGTTCGCCATACTGCCAGGTGTGATGCCAGACTGCGATTTTTCTTCGTGGTCACGCCTCTCGGCCCTAATATGGCCTAGGCAGCTGCGAACCTGTGGGGCTGTTGCGGACTCACAACGAGTGCCTCCCTTTGTCAACCAAGTTAGCCTGGGATTTTCATGCCGGTCCGGTCCTGTCACATCTTCAGCATAGGGCTTTTGACCCCATTTTTTTAACCTTTCGATACATTGAACGTCCAAGAATTGACAGGTTGAATTTTGTAAGTTGGACCAGTTGGACCCATACTGTGGCGCCAAATCCTGGATAATCCTGGGGCCAGAATTCGAAAACGCCCAAGATGGTGGCCACAGACGTCTTTCTGAACGAAACATCAGAGGTTTTCGTGGCATATTCATGTGAGATATGTGAGCCTTTCCGGTCTGCCATTTCGAACGTGTTCAATGATCTCATCCGGCAGTTTTCTGAAAGGATGCTGATGAAGAATGCCACCGAGCACCTGAAAAGTGCTGACCTGTTCACTCCACAGGCGGAGATGAGAGTTTTTCTGCTGAAAAGTTGCCATTTTCGTGGCGTGACCAGTGTGACTATGTGTGACTTACTCTCCGACCCCGCCCGTGCCATTCCTTTCCAGTAGGATCCTAGACCTTAGAGAAATATTCATTCCCTAGGAATAGGATGTGCAAAGCCGAATCTAATCAATCGGGCACACCATTGATTGAGGCCTCTATTGGGCTGCCTCTGGGCAAGTTGCGATCACAGAAAAGCTGATTCTGCAGTTCAAAGCAGATGTGGTCCAAGATACTCGGCTTGGTGACTTCATAACCGCGTCAGCTGGAATAGACCGACAACGTTACCATTTATAGAAATCATTGCCCGCAGAGTCATGTTCGTTTATCAAACTGGCAACTTGTTGATTTCTAACAATTGGACCTGGCTGCAGAGTCTTCCAATCGCAGTGTGGTTGCCTTGGGTCATTTCTTTGGCTCGGTTGGAGAGAGCAAAAGGGGGGCACCGACAAGAAGGGAAGGACTGCCCGTGAATTCCTTAAGTCAAGGAACTCATGGGCAGTCCTTCCCTATTGAATCTATTAAGCAGAAGACGAAGATAGAACAGAATCCGCAGGTGCTCAAGTTGCTGCAGCTTGGCTGTGGGATAAGAGGTGTGTTACTTTGCAATTGCTTGATTGTTTGCCCCAAATGGTTTCGAAAACAAGTAGAGCGTAGAGCTTTCGGATCTTTTCTAGCTTGCAGACTCACTCTTGCAAGTAACGCCCCCAGCTTCATCATTTCAGTTCCTGTTGGCCCCTGCGCCGCTTCCGAGGGCAAATGCTGTGAAGGAGGCGCAGAAGGAGCGCGCTGCAGCGGCGCGGGAACAGAAGAAAAGCCCGCAAGGACCCTGCAGGGAGGATTTCTGCCCGAGTTTCAGGGTGTGATTTCAGATAAAAACCAGTGGGAAGACCAGTGGTATTTTTCCCCAACAGAAAAACACTATTTTTCGTTCTGCAATGCGCAGTTGCGGCTTGGCACAATGTGGTCAGGTCTAGTCAGGTTTGGACATCTTCCAAAGTCCCAAAGTTTGTCATCATTTTGCCCATTACAGTTTTGGGACGCATCAGTATTCCCAATTTTTTGGAAAAAACATGAAAGTTGGATTTTTTCGCCCACAATTTCCCCTTGTTGTATGAGTGAGCCAATGTCGTCCCGCTCAGTGGGCTCACGTTGAGGTGCGAGTTTCTCCTCACAGCGTAACGACCACGTTTTTTTTGGCCCTCACCGGAATCATTGGAGGCCTGAGCTGTGTAGCCTGTAGCCAAGTAGCCAAGTACATGCCATCGGCACGTCTGCTTGGGATTTTCATGCCTGTCCATAATATGTTCAGCACTCATTGTAGGGGTTTTGACCCCAGCTATGATCAGCTATGCATAGCTGCATAACCTTTCGATTCAAACTTCCTAAGTACCCAAGATTGGTGGGTTCTTGCAACATCTTGCAACAAATACACAAAATCATCAGGGGTTCGGGGTTGAATCTTGGAACTTGGGCCTAAGAATCTGGGGTGTTGAACTCGTTTTCACCAAGATGGCTGCGATCAACGTTTTCCTGAAGCACAGGGGAAACATGGAGATCAAAGATGAGTGTGGCTTCACCCCATCTTTTGGGCGGCCGAATCTGGCCGCGTGGATACGATGAGACTCAATTGAAACATCAGAGGTTTTCGTGGCACATGGACGTTTCCTCAAATGGGGGTAACCCCAAATCAGCCAAAATTGTGAGTCCGTGTTCAATGACCTCATCCTGCAGTTTTCTGCAAGGAAAGAGCTGATTAAGAAGGGTGCCAGCACCAAGCTCCTGAGTCCCATTGGAGGTGACCTTTTCACCTCTGCTACAGGCTCTCAGATGTCAATTTTTTTTGGGGGGTTGTTGTGATTTTCTTGGCAATGACCCCTCTGTTTGTGACCTGACCACCATGAGTACGTCTCGGACTCCTCCATGGTGAGAGATTCGTTGATTTGACGTTCTTCTGATTTTCTGCTTTCTGCCATTCCTTTCTGGTGAGATTTGGGACCTCCGTGAAAGAGACAGAATGCGCAAGACTGAACCAGCAGATAAACGGACAGTGTACAAAGAAAAGGGATACGGGACCTTTGACAGTCACCTCCATCTCTAGTATTATTGGGACTAGATTGAATTTATGCAAACGATACGGACACACACACATGCACGTATATACTGACAATGAAACAAGATATATTTCACTGTAATGTGACACAACTATCAAATGAAATAAACAGAATATACAATGTAATAAAATTGTCATGATACTAATAGAATAAGACTAAAGATAACATATACCATGTGAACCAATATACTACATTTAGGCATGTATACTTATACATTTGAGATGGAACGCAAAGTTTCAGGGTCGTCCAGTCCGTGCATGCGTCTTGCCAGCTTGCCAGGTGAGGCCATGAACTTCTCCGTGAATGAACTGGGAGCAGACCCTCGCCGCAAATTGATAAAAAAATCAAACCAATTTGTTTGTGGCTGCCGAGCGCGGAGATGTCGAGAAAGCCAGACATGTTGATGCGTTGCAACACATTGGTGTCCCTGTCCGTGTACTTTGTATCCTCCTAGATTTGACCTGGACAGGTCCTGATTGAGACCTATGGCCTTGATGTCAATCATCAAGATGAGAACGGACAGACCTGTCCCTCGGCATGTGAAAGCAGGACTTCAAACGCTGAGAAGTGAGGTTAGCTGAGGTTAACCATTGAGCATTGGTTTAATTCCTGGAAACCCAAACAACTGTGAGGCTTTGTTTTCCCCAAACATGTTTGAACAAAGACATCGTTGCTAGGTTTTTTGGGCATCTTTCAGGTACATCTACGTTTGAGATGAATGGGTCAACTGGCCATTCAATGTCTGTGCTTATTATAACCTCCTATAGAAGCCACAAACCATCCAAAACCCAAAGCCAACATTTGGGTGGTCAAACTGAAACCCATGTTGCCGCAAAAAATCGCCAACCATCCATATCTCGAGAATAGCGGAATCTTGACCCATACCCATGAGGCGGAACAATGTCAGGGACGATGTCGCAGATGAAGTCAGTGATGCGTATCGGTATCACAGGGGAGACGATCTCCGCATGTCACTCCAATGGTTCACGTTGTTGAAGAGTCTGCTAGAATTGCTGGCTTGGGATTCGCACTAACAAAAATCCGGTCTTTGCTGTTGTGTCAAGCTCTTGCTAGTCATGCATATCGAATCTAATCCATCCATCGGGCACACCATGGATTGAGGCTATACTATGCTGCGACATATGGCGGATTTCCTGTCACACAAAAGTTGATTCTGCAGTTCAAAACATCTGCTTTGAACTGCAGAATCAGCTTTTGATGAGTTGCTGATTGCGTCAACAACTGCAATGGACAGTCCGAACATGTGAAGATACCATTGATGGACACCATTCTGCATAGAGTCTCACGTTCTTTTATCAAATTCAAGGCAAATTGTCGGTTTCTAGCAGTTTGACCTGGATGCAGAGTCTTCTCGTTGGGCAGCACCGACAAGAATGGAAGGAGGAACAAAATCCCTTCGTTTTTTTTTTCTTCGGCTTCTGCTCCTCAAGTTGCAGCTTGGCCGTTTGCAGCTGGACTGATTGCCCGAATTGGTTTCGGAAACAAGTAGGGCTTTCGGATCTTTCCGGATCTTTCATAATCTTTCCGGATTTTTTCTGGCTTTTAGATTCACCTTTGCAGGTCACCTCCAGCTGTCCCTGGCCCCTGTGCCGCTTCCAAGGGACGCCGAGAAAAAGGCACGCAAGGGGAGAGCGAGAAGAAACAGCGTGCAGCGGCGCTTGCAAGAAGTCACGGAGAAAATCCTGAAAATCCTGAAAAACTCATGATTTGTAAGTCAGATCTATGATATAATGAGATTGAACACAAAACATCCAGCGCTGTCAAAGTTCAAAAGAACTTCCAAAGCCAAAGAACTCCAGGTCGGGTGCAGAATGGGAATCTTGGATTGAATTGGTAATAAGTTGATTTGGGTCATGGCACATTCATCCCTGGTGTTTGCACTCATGATGTCCTTCATAGGTGCGACGATCTGACAAATCCAGTTCTTCACCTTGCCCAAAACGGGTATTTCGTTCGGGGTGAGATTTGGCTGTGTTGCCCCGGTCGTCTGAGCATCAAGTTTTGCCCAAAATGTTCGCAAAAACCTGCAGGGTTCTGTGGCTCTAGAGGGAGCCGAAGTTGGCCAACAGCGTCCAAAGCAGGCGCCATGGCGCCAGTAGGCCAGAGGCAACAGATGTTGGATGAACTGCTGTGGGTGGCAGCGAAAACAGAAAGCCTGAGGCTGGACCAACATTGCCGAAAAACGGCTACATATGGTGTGTAGCAACGTGTACTTGTAGAAATCTGCCACATCTCTCCCCACGCGCTGCAACATCAGGCTGTTAAACTTTTGATTGGAGGGCACAATGCCAACCCAAATCAGGCGGAGCGGGCCATGTTGTACCTGGTGGGTTTGGGCAATCTTGGCCATCCGGATACCCCAACCGGCTCAATCTGTGTTTGGTTAGAACTTGCAATTCTGCACCAGCCATGTGCCAGTTCCTTACTCTGCAATATTTGGTTGAACTGCGACAGCTTCACCCCTAAGCCCACAATAACTAGCGCAGTCTCAGTGCATTCCCTCTTCTTTTGCTCGCTGAGTGGTTGTTTTGGGAGACTCTTGTCACCTGCTCAATGGAAACCAAAGTTGATCCTAGTTCTTCGTATTTGGGATTTATCCGGTGTTGTCCTCCCTCATTAGCTTTGCCGTCCCACCACATTTTGGTATCCTAAACCTGTCTTCCTGATGTCTTTTGGGTGTGTCCAATCAATTCCTAAGTGCGCAGTGAGCACCATTTGCCGACCTCACCCAGCACCAGGTCAGCCCTTCTGGGCAGACGCTGCTACATCAAGCTGCCCAGAATGAGCAGCACGCCCTGGAGGTGCAGCACAGTGGCAAAACAGGATAGATTTGGGAGATTCTGGTTGGAATCACCATTCAAACAATGGCTCTTGGATCCTTTTGATCCTTATCCAAGCCACTGGCCAGTTGCAACGGGAATCTTTTTCGGTCAAGTTTGATCCATGGGAGGTCGCCAAAGTGTTGATCCACTTCAAAGTGGATGCGGAAAAAACCGACATCTACGGGCAGACGGCCATCTTCTATGCAGCCAGGGATGGCAATGCAGAATTGCGGCTTGGCTGTGGTCGGGTTTAGTCAGGTTTGAACATCTTCCAAAGTCCCAAAGTTTGTCATCGTGTTGCACATTACAGTTTTGGGATGTACCAGAATCCCAAATGTTTGAAAAACACATTAAAGTTGGAATTTTCCACCCACAATTTTGCCTTGTTGTATGAGTGAGACCATGTCGTCCCGCTCAGTGGGCTCATGTTGAGGTGCGAGTTCCTCCTTCAGCACGGTTGTGCCGTGAACCACGTGGACACGAATCGGCAGACGCCGATATTTTACTCCGTGCGTAACGGCCACGTCTCTTGGTCCAGGATCATCAGAACGGGGGCCGCAGCTGCATAGCGTAGCCAAGTTCTGCTGGGCCACAGGCAATTCTGCTTGGGATCATGCCCATCCGTAACACTTGCTGTAGTTTTGACCCCAGCTATACATAACATCATAACCTTTCGATTTAAAATTGAGCATCCAAAAACTGATAAATTCTTGCAACGAATGCACAACATCAGGGGTTCGGGGTTGAATCTTGGAACTTGGATCTAAGATTCTGGGGTGTTGAACTCGTTTTCACCAAGATGGCGGCGACGAACGTCTTCCTAAAGCGCGGGGCGGATGTGGAGATCAAAGATGAGTGTGGCTTCACGCCCATCTTTTGGGCGGCCGAATCTGGCCGCGTGGATACGATGAGACTCAATTGAAACATCAGAGGTTTTCGTGGCACATGGACGTTTCCTCAAATGGGGGTAACCCCAAATCAGCCAAAATTGTGAGTCCGTGTTCAATGACCTCATCCTGCAGTTTTCTGCAAGGAAAGAGCTGATTAAGAAGGGTGCCAGCACCAAGCTCCTGAGACCCATTGGAGGTGACCTTTTCACCTCTGCTACAGGCTCTCAGATGTCAATTTTTTTTTTGGGGGTTGTTGTGATTTTCTTGGCAATGACCCCTCTGTTTGTGACCTGACCACCATGAGTACGTCTCGGACTCCTCCATGGTGAGAGATTCGTTGATTTGACGTTCTTCTGATTTTCTGCTTTCTGCCATTCCTTTCTGGTGAGATTTGGGACCTCCGTGAAAGAGACAGAATGCGCAAGACTGAACCAGCAGATAAACGGACAGTGTACAAAGAAAAGGGATACGGGATCTTTGACAGTCACCTCCATCTCTAGTATTATTGGAACTAGATTGAATTTATGTAAACGATACGGACACACACACACACGCACGTATATACTGACAATGAATCATGATATTAATATGTTACTGGAATGTGACACAATATGAAATGACATAAATATAATATACAATGTATATAATAAATTCAGGAGAACCTTGAAAAAGATATGGAGCTTGTTTCACTTGAAAACATTGAACTACTATGAATTTAAGTAATGTTTATATTAGTATATAAGTAGTTGGAGAACAATGGACAAAAAAAGACCAGTAATGTGGATCTTCCCCCAAAAATAGTTTTCTTCACACAGTTTTTTTTTCAGCACTTCATCTCGAAATCGCCATTTCGTTATAGCGTGATACTCAGTTTACCAACTGGCGAAGCCATAAAACACCGCAGCGGTCTATAAGCCGCGCGAAGATGATATCAGCATATCAGTAGCTCATTGTAGTTCATGGTAGTTCTCGTATCATATCTTTCTACAAATTCATAAGCCTTTTTCAGATTTCTTCCCCCCAAAAAACAGCAGGAAACCCATGGGTGAGACCCACAATCTCTGCAAGGGCCGAATCTACATCCATGGGGATGCCTTGATCTTGGACGTCCAGAAAGGCGCCAAGAGTCGGCGAAACACCGAACCAACGGGGATCAAAAAGTGATAGGCCCCCAAGGAATTTCTCACACATTCGACACCTCATAGGTCCAGGTTCAAATCCGGTTTGTCGGATGATGTCTGATGGATTTGCTCCCAAATTGTCCATCCTCATCCTTATCCAAAACTTGCCGTCAAGTCGCAAACTCCAAGATGTGAACACCCAAAGGTTAGTCAGAGTCGAGGGGGTTCGCGAGACGGTTTCACCATGTGGCAAGGTGAAACACATTGCGATTCCCTTGACAGGCCCCGTTTTTTTTGGGGTCACTTGGTCACTTGGATGTTGATGAAACAAGAAAATGCGGCTTGGAACCCGCACAGGAACAGCGACGGCATTGCCACGGGGGCTGCATGGCCATGGATATTTTTTGAGCTGGGAACTTGATAGAATGAAACATTTTTAGTTTTTTTGGCTTAACTTGTCTTGCTTTTCTGCTTTGGATTGTATCATGAGTATCATGTTTCATGTTTCATAGATGGTCACGTGGCTGCAGGGTGTCTCTTTGTGGAAAGTGTTTTCAATTTTTCCCTATTGAACCCACTGCATTGAGGAAACTTTGAGAGGATTTTCGCTCAAGCCATTTAGTAACCTCAGGGTCCAGGGTGAGGTGGGCAATGTGGTACATCCTTCGGATCTTCTTTGCACTGAGGGCTCTGGCCGAGCCGAACTCGTGGCAAGAAATTACCCCAGTCGGCTCTGTGCCAACCCCCAAACGAATCAATCATATGGTGATGTGGAGCGAGATTGATGATGGTTTCTATGTCTATGGAGGAAGAGACGAGAATTATGCCCTAAAAAATGATTTGCACTTCTATTCAAGGCAAACCAATTCTTGGGCAGAAATTGTGCCCAATGGCTCCGTGCCCGCACGGCAAGCTCCGACAGCTGTGTGGAGCAACCAAGCTGATGGGTTCTACGTTTTTGGAGGATGCTGCTGGGAGAATGACTTACATTTCTATTCCAGGGAGTCCAATTCCTGGGAAAAGCTTTCACCTGCTGGCACCTTACCACTTGGACGAGAAGGGCACGCATCAGTGTGGGGGGATGTCGCAGATGGTTTCTACGTGTGCGGAGGCTACCAGAGCAATTTTGGAATCATTATGGATCTGGCTTTTTACTCTCGAGCCTCCAATGCGTGGCAGCGGCTTTGGCCCACAGGTTCCCCGCCAGATGCCCGCTACCACCACACCTTGGTATGGAGTGAAATTGATGACGGATTCTATCTCTTTGGAGGTTATTCCAGCGTCGCGGAAGACGATGGAGGAAACTGGGGCACTTTTCAAAGAAATGATTTGTATCTCTACTCGAGGCAGGCAAACTCGTGGCAAAAACTGGAGCCTAGCGGCATGCCATACTTCGATGGATTGTATTGGCAGACGTCTTTTCCTTCACGCAGAGAGGAGCACGCAGCTGTATGGAGCAAACAAAATGACGGATTCTATGTTTTTGGAGGCTATTCCGACGGCTACTACATGAGTGATGTGTATTTATATTCACGGCAGAGAAATGAATGGCAAGCTATGTGGCCCACTGGTGGAAATGTCGAGGCGCGACATGAACATGCCATCGTGGGAAACCTGGAGGGTTTCTATGTTGTGGGAGGGCGCTACAGTACATCGGCCCCCTATGATGATTTGTTTCTGTACATATGGCAGACCACGACCACGACAACAACGTACACATCATCGACGCAGACAACCAATACTTCTACCTCCTCAACGTTTACCTGGACTACCATGACAAGTACGACCATGACAAGCTCGATGACAACATTGACAAGTTCAACATCTACTGTCACAACGTTGACCCACACATCTTCCACCACCACGTGGACGACAGCAACAACAACGGCGACATCCACTTGGACGTTGACCAGTGTGCAAGACGAAGCCGCATCCGCTTCAGGCGCCGGTATCAAGTTAGTTGTGATTCTGGCTTGGCTTGGCTTGGTGTAGACCTGAGCTTGAAAACCGTTTACTTGCTTTGAGCTGAAGCTGGAGAGGTGCAAGCAGCATACACCCCGAAGGGTCAGAGTGCACAGTGCAAAGTCACCCAACTTGCAACTTCTAGCAGCAGTTTGGTTTCACTCTATTTATTGCTTTTCTTTTGCATCATTGTTCAAGCCTTCAGCCTGAATCACAGGCGGTGCACCAGCTGTGGACGGAAATGAGTGAGACAAACACCTGGGTCAAAGGTGGAGTTACTATGCAGCCAAAAACAACTGACAAACGATGCGAAAGAACATGCTTTGCACAAAAGGTTTGCCATACTGCCAGGCGTGATGCCAGACTGCGATTTTTCTTCGTGGTCACGCCTCTCGGCCCGAAGCATGGCCTAATATGGCCTAGGCAGCTGCGAACCTGTGGGGCTGTTGTGGACTCACAACGAGTGCCTCCCTTTGTCAACCAATTTAGCCTGGGATTTTCATGCCGCTCCGGTCATGTCACATCTTCAGCATAGGGCTTTTGACCCCAAAAAAATAACCTTTCGATACATTGAGCGTCCAAGAATTGACAGGTTGAATTTTGTCAGTTGGACCAGTTGGACCAGTTGGACCCTATAGGGCGCCAAATCCTGGATCCTGGGGCCAGAATTCGATGCGCCAAGATGGTGGCCACGTAGACACGTCTTTCTGAACGAAACATCAGAGGTTTTCGATGGTTTTCGTGGCATATTCATGTGAGATATGTGAGCCTTTCCGGTCTGCCGGTCTGCCATTTCAAACGTGTTCAATGATCTCATCCGGCAGTTTTCTGAAAGGATGCTGATGAAGAATGCCACCGAGCACCTGAAAGGTGACCTGTTCGCTCCACAGGCCTTGGAGATGAGAGTTTTTCTGCTGAAAAGTTGCCATTTTCGTGGCGTGACCAGTGTGACTATGTGTGACTTACTCTCCGACCCCTGTTCTCCGACCCCTGTGCCCGTGCCATTCCTTTCCAGTAGGATCCTAGACCTTAGAGAAATATTCATTCCCTAGGAATAGGATGTGCAAAGCCGAATCTAATCAATCGGGCACACCATTGATTGAGGCCTCTATTGGGCTGCCTCTGGGCAAGTTGCGATCACAGAAAAGCTGATTCTGCAGTTCAAAGCAGATGTGGTCCAAGATACTCGGCTTGGTGACTTCATAATCGCGTCAGCTGGAATAGACCGACAACGTTACCATTAGTAGAAATCATTGCCCGCAGAGTCATGTTCGTTTATCAAACTGGCAACTTGTTGATTTCTAGCAATTGGACCTGGCTGCAGAGTCTTCCAATCGCAGTGTGGTTGCCTTGGGTCATTTCTTTGGCTCGGTTGGAGAGAGCAAAAGGGGGGCACCGACAAGAAGGGAAGGACTGCCCGTGAATTCCTTAAGTCAAGGAACTCATGGGCAGTCCTTCCCTATTGAATCTATTAAGCAGAAGACGAAGATAGAACAGAATCCGCAGGTGCTCAAGTTGCTGCAGCTTGGCTGTGGGATAAGAGGTGTGTTACTTTGCAATTGCTTGATTGTTTGCCCCAAATGGTTTCGAAAACAAGTAGAGCGTAGAGCTTTCGGATCTTTTCTAGCTTGCAGACTCACTCTTGCAAGTAACGCCCCCAGCTTCATCATTTCAGTTCCTGTTGGCCCCTGCGCCGCTTCCGAGGGCAAATGCTGTGAAGGAGGCGCAGAAGGAGCACGCTGCAGCGGCGCGGGAACAGAAGAAGCTGCCAAAGCCCGCAAGGACCCTGCAGGGAGGATTTCTGCCCGAGTTTCAGGGTGTGATTTCAGATAAAAACCAATGGGAAGACCAGTGGTATTTTTCCCCAACAGAAAAACACTATTTTTCGTTCTGCAATGCGCAGTTGCGGCTTGGCACAATGTGGTCAGGTCTAGTCAGGTTTGGACATCTTCCAAAGTCCCAAAGTTTGTCATCATTTTGCCCATTACAGTTTTGGGACGCATCAGTATTCCCAATTTTTTGGAGAAAACATGAAAGTTGGAATTTTTCGCCCACAATTTCCCCTTGTTGTATGAGTGAGCCAATGTCGTCCCGCTCAGTGGGCTCACGTTGAGGTGCGAGTTTCTCCTCACAGCGTAACGACCACGTTTTTTTTGGCCCTCACCGGAATCATTGGAGGCCTGAGCTGTGTAGCCTGTAGCCAAGTAGCCAAGTACATGCCATCGGCACGTCTGCTTGGGATTTTCATGCCTGTCCATAATATGTTCAGCACTCGTTGTAGGGGTTTTGACCCCAGCTATGATCAGCTATGCATAACCTTTCGATTCAAACTTCCTAAGTACCCAAGATTGGTGGGTTCTTGCAACATCTTGCAACAAATACACAAAATCATCAGGGGTTCGGGGTTGAATCTTGGAACTTGGGCCTAAGAATCTGGGGTGTTGAACTCGTTTTCACCAAGATGGCTGCGATCAACGTTTTCCTGAAGCACAGGGGAAACATGGAGATCAAAGATGAGTGTGGCTTCACGCCCATCTTTTGGGCGGCCGAATCTGGCCGCGTGGATACGATGAGACTCAATTGAAACATCAGAGGTTTTCGTGGCACATGGACGTTTCCTCAAATGGGGGTAACCCCAAATCAGCCAAAATTGTGAGTCCGTGTTCAATGACCTCATCCTGCAGTTTTCTGCAAGGAAAGAGCTGATTAAGAAGGGTGCCAGCACCAAGCTCCTGAGACCCATTGGAGGTGACCTTTTCACCTCTGCTACAGGCTCTCAGATGTCAATTTTTTTTTGGGGGGTTGTTGTGATTTTCTTGGCAATGACCCCTCTGTTTGTGACCTGACCACCATGAGTACGTCTCGGACTCCTCCATGGTGAGAGATTCGTTGATTTGACGTTCTTCTGATTTTCTGCTTTCTGCCATTCCTTTCTGGTGAGATTTGGGACCTCCGTGAAAGAGACAGAATGCGCAAGACTGAACCAGCAGATAAACGGACAGTGTACAAAGAAAAGGGATACGGGACCTTTGACAGTCACCTCCATCTCTAGTATTATTGGGACTAAATTGAATTTATGCAAACGATACGGACACACACACACATGCACGTATATACTGACAATGAAACAAGATATTTATGAGGCTTACGCCTGACAGCCGGGCGCCGGCCAAAGCAGACCCGTGGAAGGTATGCGTTGGGTGTAATCCATGTCCATGTTCTGGTGTTGTTGTTGTTGTTGTTGTTGTTGTTGCTGTTGTTGTTGTTGTCGTGGTCGTCGTTGTTTTTTGTTGTTGTCTTTGTTTTTGTTGTTGTTGTTGGCCGATGTTGGCCCTATTTGGGCGCAGGTTTGCCCCTGTCTTGGCCCTAGGTTGTTGTTGTTGTTGTTGTTGTCGTTGTTGTTGTCGTTGTTGTTGTTGTTGTTGTTGTTGTTGCTGTTGTTGTTGCTGCTGCTGCTGTTGTTGTTGTGTTTGTGGTTGTTGTTGTTGTTGTTGTTGTTGTTGTTGTTGTTGTTGTTGTTGTTGTGGTTGTTGGTGTTGTGGTTGTTTATGTTCTTCTTGTTGTTGGGGGTGGTGTTGTTGTTGTTGTTGTTGTTGTTGTTGTTGTTGTTGTTGTTGTTGTTGTGTTGTGTTGTTGTTGTTGTTGTTGTTGTTGTTGTTGTTGATGTTGTTGACGTCGTTGATGTTGTCGATGTGGTTGATGTGGTTGATGTTGTTGTCTTTTGCATCAAGTTGGAGCTAAGTTGGGCCATCTTGGAGCTATGTTGAGCCATCTTGGGGTCATGTTGGGCGATCTTGGGACCATGTTGGGCCTATGTTGGGCCATCTTGGGGCCATGTTGGGCCCATGTTGGGCCATCTTGGGGCCATCTTGGGCCTATGTTGGGCCGTCTTGGGCCATCTTGGAGCCATGTTGGGCCTATGTTGGGCCATCTTGGGGCCATCTTGGGCCTATGTTGGCCCTATGTTGGCGCAGGCTGTAGCCCACATCTTGGCCGATGTTGGCCCTATGTTGGCACCAAGGCCGTCAAGATGTCCAGTTTTCCGTTCCGGACCCCGTCCTAAGACCCAAAACCATGAAAAACCCATGGTTTTTTCACGTCGCCGAGATGAAACCTGGAGACGGCGAAGGCCACAAAACCCTGTAAAAAACGATGTTTTTTGAACACCACACGCAAAATACACTGTAAATTACAGGTATAATCGTGGGTCGGGGGTGAACCGGGGGTGGACCGGGCGTGGGGCGGAATCGGGCAGAGCCGGTCGGCGGCAGGGGCGGCGAGCGTATATAACCTTCGGTTACCACCGAAGGCCTCCGGCGAGGACACGGGCCCGGGGCCGGCGCCCGGATATTTAAGCGCTTACGCGCTACAGCCGGCCAGGGGCCCATGTTGAGGTGATATGGGTCTAGCTGGAAGCAAGATCGTAAGGCTATGTTGCCCCATCTTGAGGCTATGTTGGTCCATCTTGGGGCTATGTTGGCCCACTTTGGCGCTATGTTGGCCCGTCTTGGGGGGTAGGTTGGCTGTCGATCTGGAGGCCTATGTTGACCCGTGTTGAGCCAAAAGATCCGAAAAATGGGAACAGCAAAAAAAACACTGTAAAACGCAAGATATTTTGATGGTCGGCGGCCTATCTTGGGGCTATGTTGGCCCATCTTGGGGGCTATGTTGGCCCATCTTGGGGCTATGTTGGCCCAGCTTGGGGGCTATGTTGGCTCATCTTGGAGCTATGTTGGCCCATCTTGGGGCTATGTTGGCCCATCTTGGGGGCTATGTTGCCCCATCTTGAGGCTATGTTGGCCCATCTTGAGGCCTATGAGTGCCCATGTTGACCCATCTTGAGCCACATGTGCGATGTTTGTGCAAAAACATGTTGAATGTCACAGGGCCAAAAAACACTGTAAATTACAGGGGTTTCTGTCGACACGCGCACCCTACCGGAGGTCGGCGGCAGGGGGTGCAGCCCCTCTCTCCTACGGAGAGGAGAGAACTGCCGTACGGCAAGGACACGGCCAGGGGGCCCCTGGCCGGATTTATGAGGCTTACGCCTGACAGCCGGGCGCCGGCAAAAGCAGACCCGTCAGCCCGAGCGGGCGTTGGTGGTGTTGTTGTTGTTGTGGTGGTGGTGGTGGTGGTTGTTGTTGTTGTTGTCGTCGTTGTTGTTGTTGTTGCTGTTGCTGTTGCTGTTGCTGTGGTTGTTGTTGTTGTTGTTGTTGTTGTTGTTGTTGTTGTTGTTGTTGTTGTTTGTTGTTGTTGTTGTTGTTCTTGTTGTTGTTGTTGTTGTTGTT